TAACAATTTCTTCCTCAGAAAATTTTGTACAAAAATACTTAGATTAAAGTCTATGATGAATGTATAAAAATTTAATTATTTAATTATATATTTCAAATATTTTTTGAATGTAATTCAAAGCTTACAAAGTTTCTAATTTTATCATTGGTCAAAAAGAGGTCGCCTAGTTTGTGATAAAGCAAATGATTCAGCCACCTCAAATACTCATTGCAAGACTAAAATATCACTCATATCAAACCTGCTCCATTAACCGAAAAATTATTCTGTGCGGACAACATACGCCGTCCAAAATCATGTCGGAGTGCGCCAAGTCACTCTTTTGCTATGTGTTGTAGCTGTGTATCAGGTGATGGGGCGAGTTCTGATTCGCCTCCAAATGGTCTAATGTCCGCACATAATAATCTCTCCCACTAACCAAATTATCTATCATCGCCTCAGATCACTGAATCATAACCATTCGCTCATAACAATCTTGTTATTTTTACAGCAGTTAGATGCATTACTCTTGATGTATTTATAGTAATAGTCTGAACTATGAAATAAATACACTTTATTTTGTTACTCTGTATTTTTATTTTATAAAGGTAAAATCTGTATTAATGTTTTTTCTTTGAAGTTTCCCAATCGACAAAAGCACCAACATATGTTGCTATTGATGCTCACCTTACTTTTACTAGTTGATAATAGAAAATATGTATTTTTTCATTAAATAGCCGAGTCATTATTTGTTTTTGTTTTAATAGTTTATTAGAATTAGCGTTGGTTTTACAGTCGGATCTATAAAGATTGTAAATGGGCTTTGGGCTGATGGACGGAGCTTAAACAAGAAACAAATATTCTTTGTTAGTCCATTCAAAATAAATTATATATATATTGATACATCGCCAAAAAATTATCTTGATCGGGCACGAATCTCGAGGCGAAAGCTAGTTGGAAACTTTAAAAATTAATTTTGGGAGCATCCGAACTCCAATTTCAGCGAGCTTACAGTCAAAATGAGCGTCTCGGAAATACGGACCCGACGACACCAAGATCAACCCAATCCGAGCCCAAATGAGTCCAAATCAAGGGCTCAAAGTGCTGTCAGAGCCTACACCTGCTCGTTTTCTGTGTCGGGTATGGTCAACCCGACGGGTCGGGTCCGGGTCCGGGTCCGTGTTTTCGACCTGTTTGCCTACTCGGGTCGGGTTACGGTCGACCGATTGAACCCGGCTCAGTTCCAGGTTCGACCCGTGACCCGAAATTGACACCCCTAAAAAATATATGACCCCTAAATAATATATGACGCGTCACCAAAAAGCGCACTCAATCAAATACAAATTTTAATATATATTGAAATTGAAAACTTTAAATTTCAAATTTAATATCATATGAATACTGATTTCAATAAAATCAGAGTTGAGATGAATTCAACAAAATCAAAAGTAATCTAATTTGAATCAAAATGAATCCAAGCATAATTAGAAAATTCGTGAAATTTAATAAGGCAATAAATTACCACCAAATTTTGCGTGGTTATAATCAAATCGAGCTTCTCTACGAGATGACCCAACAAGCCCAAGATTGTCAAACTTTGACATCATTAAGGATTAATACATAAAATGTACAAAGAATAATATATAATAACAAGAATTAATACATATTATTCGATGGTGCTTTTGGAGTCTGAATATTTTGACGAAGAATATCCCTCTAAATTTCTTTAAATGGAGAGAGCTAGAATATTAAAAGAATCCCTGTTACCATCAAACCGCTACCCAACTGCTATAGTTGGAAAATCACCCAATCGACACTATCATTGGACCACCTCTCGATTGCCACCATCGAATTAAATAGTATGTCATGCTTTGGGTTCTTTGTTTGACCACCCTCTTAAAGTTGATAACACCACCTCTGTTGTCTCGCGTCCCTCCCTGGCCCGTGTTCTAGTTGAATTGGATATTACGAAGAACTATCATGATAAAGTTTGGCTCAGTTCAGATAATATATTTGGGTTATTCCAGCATGTGCAAATGGAGGATTTTCCTCCCTTTTTGTGATTTGTGTAAAGCTATTGGCCATATTCGGGGTGAGTGTCATTCTCTACCCCCTGCCCTCATTCCTGTTTCTTCTACAAAGCTTAGTTTACCTCTTAGGATTGAAAATGTTATTCTGGAGAATGTTGGTAGTGGTGTTAATGTGGATGTGGTTATTCATGATCCTTTGGGTCAGTCATTGTCTCTGGCAGGTATTGGGAATGAGGGTGCTGGTCCGGTTAGTTTGCCTGCACGCTCTAATGTTATTGTTTCTCCTGTTTATGTTTCTCCTCTTACTTTGCCTTTTTGGGTGGTCCTTCTGTTGTTTTGGTGGATTCGGTTGTTGTGTTGGATTCCCCTATCCTTGTTGTTAATGGTTGTGATGTGGGTGTGCCTTTTGTCGGGCACGTTCTATCTTGCCCTGAGCTCTCCCCTACAGCCCATGATACTGCTACTGCTTTTGGTTCTAGTATTTCTCCCGTAAAAAATGGGGAATTGGTGGTTTATGGTGCTGTGGATGATGTTGTTTCTCCTAATGTGGCTCCTGCCCTTGTGGCAATGACTCATAATAATTATTGTGTTAATCTTAGTGATAGTCCGATTTATGTTGATAGTGCGGCGTTGTCTGCTGATAATTCTACTTCTTTATTTTATAGTGGTGAAGAAGCTTTGGATGCGGTTGGAGAGGCAAGTGTTGGGATGCCTTTAGTGGATGTGCCTATTTCTGTTGTTTCAAATGCTAATTTGTTAGCCCATGTTGTTAGAAATTCTTTTTGGTTGCAATGTGATTGGTTGCATGATGACATGTCGGTTGCTAGTGGGGAGGATTTTATTGATAGCAACCTAGAAATGGGCTCGTTCGATGATTTTGTTATGCAACACAAATGAAAATCCAAGCAGAAATGACTTTCTTTTTTTGGAAGTTTTTTTGTATGTGCTGCTTGATTTTATTCTGAATTTCGTTGCTTTGGTTGTGATGCTGGGTTGGAATCAGAATGGATGATGATGAAGCAGTTATGCTTCATGCGCCTTGGATGGCCAAGTTTGGTTGGCAACCTTGGTGGCTGCTTCTCGATTTGGATGGTTTGTCTATCCTCTATGGATGGCCCCTCCCTGACAACTAGGTGTCAGTCTGTGTCTGAGATTTTTTGATTTTGTCTATTCAACTCTCAATTTGTTTTGCTGTTGTTGCTTTTTCTTTTTCATTAATTGTAATCCTATTGATGTTGCCATGTTTGTGGTCTTATGCTATATCATTTTATTTTAATGAAATTTTTGTTTGGAAAAAAAATTGTAGCCAAAATACAATCCCTAAAGTTATGCCTACTATAACATTGGTGTGTGAAGCTTGCATGTTTCAATATTCTCATCTTCTTACCAGAGAATGTATCTCAAATAACACAAGTGTGTGCCTAAGATCTAGATAGCATTATGATGATATTTATTTTATACGTAGCATCCAAGAGAATGGATTTCAAATACAAGATGGTGATAGTGATGACAACTATTTATCCAAACAAGACAAAAGAGCTTTTTGGCTAGATGTCAAGATTTGAGCATAATAATATAATAATATTTTCTCCCCAAAAAATATAACTATAGTGAGATCTTCACACTTTAATAGAGTTAAAAAGTTATAATTTTGGAGATGCTTGAACAAGGAGTAGAGTGTCAAAGGTAAGTTTTGAGAGGGGGAATAGATATTCTTAAGTGGAATGAGATTGAATATTGTTAAGGTGGGTGAAAAATAAGATAATTTTGAAAAAGAAAATTATGTAAGAATATTTTTATATAATTTATATATAATCCTTAAAATTATTAGATACCTTTTAAAATTGGTCTTATTTGACCGGTCCAACTTAACACCGCTCGAGCCCTTAGTTTTTGCATTTCTGGTTTATAGATTGCCTGATAGATAAGTCAAATTTTAGGGAAATATTTTTTTCTATATAAAATTGCAGTTGATAGGATCCACGCTCAGCCATCTCAACAGGAATCAATCGCTTGCCTTATCCACAAGAATTTTAGCATGTTTAAAAGGCTTCCGTTTTGCATTATTATAAGGTTTTTACTATAATTATTAAATATGAGCTTTTTTTTTTTAATTTTAAATTTTTGAAGAAATTTAATCCAAACTCAAATACATAAAAAGCCTCAAGCATATAATCTTTCAACTAATAAACTATAAATTAAAATGTGACGCATTCCTCAGTTATTAAAAAATAACTTTATGCCATTTATTAAAATTTATATTTGTGATATGTGTTTATTTACATTTAATTTACTAAAAAATTTCAAAGCAAACAAAAAATAAAACGTCCATTGAATAGTTCGCGGACGAAAATAAGATAAATATTGTCAATTGACATTTTTATAGTAAACAGAAAAAGCTTGTAGCAATACAGCAGCCAAGGAAGCAATGTCTATCTATTACGTAAAACTCTTCTGGATCTTATCTATGCTGTCGGAGTCAACTTGCCTATAAACAATTATATTCTAAGATATTTGTAATATTCTAAGTTATTACTCGCACAAATAAAGCTCAAGTTAATCTCTTTAGTTAGAACCCACAGGGTTAGCTGAGTTAGTTGGCTAGCATGATTGAGTCGTGAGAAAATAAAATAATTACGGGTCCTATATATATAAGGTTGATTGCTGATAGGCTCACCGAACAATTAATTAAATGTTGTCATAAGGATGGTAGCGGGCGATCTAAAAAAAAAAAAAATCTTTAGTTAGATACTAAATTGACGAATCTTCAGCATTAATATAATTTACACGGATATTTAAATTTTTTTTATTTAAGATTCAAAATCTACATAAATCAAACATTAGATGCGCCCAAGTCAAAAATTTATTTCCAATTCCCCAAAAAAAAAAAATTTATTTCCATAATTTTGACTACGTTCTGTCGGAAGGCTGTTGGAATCCAAAATACCGAAACGGAAAATATAATAATGTCGAAGGGCTTTAAGAAGAAATTCACACGGAGGAAAACATAAGGAAAGGCGGTTCGAATACCAAATAAAGTTGGCCTTTGGGCTCCGTATTTCTCAGTCTCTTATCACTGTCGTCTCTCTCTCTCTCTCTCGGCTGGGGCTTTGGGAGATTCGGAGCACAACTTTCAGGATCAGTCGGTCACCGACGGTAAGGTAAGGGTCCGTTTCGTTTCCTTCAAACTTTTTTTTTCTTTTTTTCTGTGAATTTGAGAAGAATTTGATGGGTTTTTTATGTTTTCCTTTGTGTTTATTAGAAAAGAACTTCAAAAGATATGCTTCTTTGGTACTTGATGTTGTAATGACTTTAATGATTATGAGCCAAGTAGGATTAGGGTTATTAGGTCGCAAGTAGGATTAGGCCAATCAAATTTTTTGTAACCTTCCTAATTCCCTCATTCAAATTTTATTCTAAAATCCATTTGGTTGCTGTTAAGTGTAATCCGTAGGAGAGGTAGGGGTCAAAATCATGCTCTTTTGGAAGTAAAACACTGCAAGAAATCACAAATAGCTTAATAAAATAAAAGAAATCTAAACAAGGCAAATATTGTTGTTGCCATCCAGAAGAGATTTTCCTTATTTGTAAGATGGGTGACTTTTAAGCTATCTCAACTTAGAAATCCACATGCACAATCAAAAAAAGTAATATTCTTACTTGGAAAACTTTCGTGGCTGTTTTTTATCGGATTTCTTCCTAGATTTAAGTCGGATTTACGCTAAATCCAGCCAAGCGGTTTTAGAGCGAGCGTTAAATCCCGGGATTCGGTAAATCCCGGATTTACGGATTTACAGTTTAAATCCGGGATTTACTAAATCCCTCGGTTCGGCGGATTTATGGGATTTGGCCGAAGAAGCGCGCGAGAGGTAGAAAGTTACCTTCACAGCCAGCGAACTCCCGTTGTTGCTTCCGATCAAAATGTCGTAAATTCCGATCCGAGAGGAAGGGAAAGTCGTCGAAGGAGCGAAGTCGAACTGCCACCAAGGGGCCGAAGAAGCAACGAAGCCGAACAGCAACGACGACAAGAGAAGATGAAAGGCAAACACTAGACGGCTCTAAGTTATTAATTGATTAACCTAATTAATATAATTTAAATATTAATAATTAAGTAATTAAATTAAATTATTAATAGTTTTATAAATTAATTATCTAATTTAACTTAATTGAATAATTAGAAATATAATTAGAAATAAACATTAATATAATTAACTAAATTAATATAACTTAAAATATATATTATTAAAAATATATAATTAATAGTGTAAATAATAATTAATGGATAATTTGTACTTAGCATCTTATTAAATTCATAATACATTAATTTTTTTATTTTTAATTATAAATTTATTTTTTAATTTCTAATTATATTCTTCACATTTAAATCTTTAACTGTCATAAATCCTGCAATATGTTATCAAATAGTTTCTCATGATTTAACATATGACATACCAAACACCTTTTAGGATTTAACTCTTTTAGGATTTACTAAATTTGGATTTACAGCATTTATTAAATTCCACTAAAATTAAATCCCACTTGTTGCCAAACAGCCCCTTCGAGAGAAAAAAAAATCACTGGGCTTTCCCCAAATCTAAACCTACACTAATGTTATTTAGTGCAAAGATGGTTCACCTCCTAGTAGCTAGAGGGAGTTTATTATTAGATGCTCATTAAGCTATTGAAATCAAAAGCAACATCATAGTCATTGAGGTTGGTCCAGGCTCACACCGATTGCAACCTAGCTGAAATGAGTAATGACAAGGTTGTCGACGATCCTGGATAGCATAAATTGTTAGGTTTGGTCTAGATTTAATTTTAGTTTAAGTTTCTCCGCAAGACACCATACCAATGTCTAGTCTATCTATACTTAACTTGGCTAGTTTATATATTGGGAGGAAAATTGAATAAAGTTGAGTTTATTTTTCCTTCAAAATCCCTCTCTCCCTCTCTTCTCTCCCTCTCCCCCTCTCTTCTCTCCCTCTCCCTCTCAATCCAAGAACAACAAGAACTTCGGCCTACTCAAGAAATTCCAACAAATTGATATCAGAGCCTGATGGAGGCGATCTCGAGTTAGGAGAAAGGTTATATCAAGAAACGAGAGCAGATAGTGAATGGAATCGTGAATCGCGATCAACACGCAGGAAAGGCGGGTTGGTTGCATGGAGCGTAGTCTTGCGCAGGAGTAAGACTTTGGTCTTGTTCTTGCCGATCAAGCAAAGAAGACGGAAGCAAGGCCTGACACACGAGCGTAGAAGAAGTAGGCCTTGCAGGGCCTGGGTGCGAACAGAGGCTCAAAGCATGTGCGGCTTGCTTACGTGAATCTGATCGAAAGTATCTGGATCGTCCACAAAGCGCGGGATGTTCGCGGATAATATGGAGGCCGAGTCTGACCGCTTGTGCATGGGCGCGAGGCAGATCCATGCGGGGACTGTGCGGATGCGCGATGTCGTAGTTCGGAGCTGCTATCAGGGATTGATGTAGAGTGGGGTGGCTGTAGGGGAGGATGTCGTAGGGTCGACGAAACTCATGTATACTTTCGCTTGGGGCGAAGGCAGAGGAAGAATTGACAGGCTTGTTCGTGTGTGAGAGGCGGATTGAAGACCGCAGATTCAGGAAATGCCGCTCTAGCTGGTGTAGGAGGCAGACATTCCTATTCTTGATTATAGATCTGGTTAGATCTTTTGAGGTGGAGCCTGCGATTCGAAACATGGGCAAATCAGCAAGTAGGGTCGATCAGATTTGGTGTGTGGAGCAGTGGATCAAGAACCTCATAGTGGACCGTGTGGGAGGCAGTAGTGCGTAAGAATGGTGGCTCATGCGAAGTCACAAGTTGGAGCGCATATGAGTGCCCAGGGAAGACGGGCAAGCCGGAGGAGCGCGCACGATTGCTTGGTATGTTTTTGTTGCCCTAATGAAATTTTCTAGGTCCGTGGTGCTTACCATGAAAGTTGCTGGTATGACCAACCAGGGGCGGAACCCCCTTGACCCCAAGGGGGCAATTGCCCCCCCCTAAAAGTTTTAAAATACTATAATCTTTAGGCAATTTCCACCAGCATATTAAACACATTGCATATATGTGTTATTGTTATGGAACGATGAACCAAATACAAAGAGATATAGTAAATTAAAATTTGCACATAAAGTATCTCAAAGCCCGCCAGCAATTCTTTTTTCACTTTATTATTTCTTTTTCTTTGTTTAGAATACCAAGCGGTGTATATCGTAGAGCTAGCTGATTTATGCTTCAGATTTTATTTATGGAAATTCAATTTGGCTTTATATTTCTTACAGGTAGCCGTCATTAAGACAGCAGCTGAAAGATAAATACCCGGGAATGTTCAAAGATGTGCTTGCTTACGAAATCCTTTCCCATAGTTAACGAGAGAGTAGTTCCATCTGTTGTGGCTCTGCTTTTTTATATAAATGGTCAGAATTCCTTGAAATGGGATTCATTCTTTGAGCTCACACACAATAAATTAAATAGTACAATAACCTTTGTCACGTTAGATCATGAGATTGTGGAGGATGGTTGAAAGCTTAGTCTCTTAAGTTCTGCTTCTCTAAATATTAAAACTCAGTTTAAGAGAAGAGTGCTTAAATTGTTCTGCTGCTTGACGTAAATCTATCAAATAATAATGGTGAATAAAGGGTGTTTATTGTTGCATAAGTACGAACTTGGTAGATTATTGGGACAAGGAACTTTTGCGAAAGTATACTACGCCAAGAATGTTATTACTAACCAATGTGTTGCTATAAAAATGATTGACAAAGGAAAGGCGTTCAGGGCCGGGCTAATGGATCAGATCAAACGTGAGATATCAATAATGAGATTGGTGAGGCATCCAAATATTGTACACTTTTATGAAGTCATGGCTACAAAAAACAAGATTTATTTTGTGATGGAATATGCCAAAGGAGGTGAGCTTTTCAACAAGATTGCTAAGGGCAGGCTTGAGAAGGATGTTGCAAGAAAATACTTTCAACAGTTAATCAGTGCAGTTGAATTTTGTCACAACAGAGGTGTTTATCACCGTGATCTAAAACCTGAAAACCTCCTCCTGGATGAAGCTGGTAATCTAAAGCTCTCAGATTTTGGTTTGAGTGCTCTTGTGGAGTCTAAGAGGCAGGATGGTTTACTGCACACTACTTGTGGAACTCCAGCTTATGTTGCTCCTGAGGTGATTGGGAGGAAAGGTTATGATGGAGCTAAAGCTGATATTTGGTCATGTGGGGTGATTCTCTATGTACTCTTAGCTGCTTATCTGCCTTTCCATGATACAAACTTGATGGAGATGTACAGGAAGATCGAGAAGGCTGAATTTAGATGTCCATATTGGTTTCCTACTAAAGCGCGGAAGTTGTTGTCAAAGATCTTAGACCCAAATCCAAGTACCAGAATCCCAATTGTTAAAATTATGTCACATTCATGGTTTAGAAAGGGATTTGAAGCTGAGTCAAAAGAAAAGATTCCTACTGCTCTTATCTCAACTTTTAGCTCCAGTGGTAGCAACAGTCAGGTTGAGCAAAAAGAGGATAGTATGAAGGCAACAAGCATGAATGCATTTGATATAATCTCTCTTTCTGATGGATTTGATCTTTCCGGTTTATTTGTGGAGCTTGACCGCAGAAAAGAAGCACGTTTCACTTCTTGGCTGCCTGCAGAAGCCATTATCTCAAAGCTCGAGGAAGTTGCCAAAAGCCTGAAGTTTAAAGTGCAGAAGAAGGATGGTGGGATCATGAAAATGGAAGTAACAAAGAAAGGAAGAAAGGATGTTTTAGCTATTGATGCTGAGATATTTGAGATCACCCCTTCATTTCACATGGTTGAGCTGAAGATGACTGATGGAGATACTCTGGAGTATGAGAAACTCTGTAAGGAGGATATTAGGCCTGCCCTTAAAGACATAATTTGGACTTGGCGAGGTGATCAAGGGTATTTACAGCAGCTGCAGATTTGATTATATAGTGAATTTTGTTGCTTTCTAGTACTTCTCTGTTGTTGTTATTTGTTGTTGTCTAGCTTATAATATTGCTCTATGGATCTTTTTTACTTTGCGAGTTTATATCAACGAGAGCCTCATAGATAGATTTGGTTCTTTATGGTATTCATTTAGGCTATTCGTAAATTATCCTAGATAAAGGTTATGAAAAGGGTCTTCAATTTATTTGAACAGGGTTAGTATCGAGTCCAAATTGGTTTCCTAGTAAATCGCAGAAATTGTTTTCAACGAGCTTGTTGTCCATTCAATAAAAATAAAATATTGATTTTATATCTAGCAAATTAAATGATTTTTTTTTGGCTAGTTTGGAATAAAGTTGCCATCCCTCAGCTATTTTTAAATCCTACCCCCGTTAATATGGCAAGGCTCATCAGCTTATAACTCCAAAAGATTGGGAGTTCCCCCTAAGATCCTTCATGGCCTCCAATCCTAGCATCCAAGCTCGAGCTTTGGTGCCACTCTTTTAAGATCAATATCTTCGGTATTGCATTATTAGGCGAAAGCATTAAACTTAATGATTTTTGTTGATCTCATTTTTATATGAGGTCAGATTTTCCTGAACCCATGTCTAGCACATAGGTGATGCAGGACTACATGCATGATTCGGAAACTTGCACAAGATATTTTAAGATCAATTCAGATTTAGTTATTAGTGAATAAAACAACAAAGTAAAACTAATAAACGGTCACTTCCGTTTAGGCCAAACAACACCAGGTGACTGTTGGGTACGACGGGTGGCCTCTCCTAGGCTCCACCAAATTCACAAACTCACTCTCTCAAGCTCTCACAAAAGCTCCAAGAAGAAGACAATGCAGGAAAATTTTCATATCATTCATTAACCAACAAAAGTACAAGATGAAGGCTATAAATAGCCTGATACAATGACATAAAATAAAAGACTAAAATACCCTCGAGGGGCTACAAGACTCAATCCCTCAAGCAAGGGTAAAAAGGGAAAAAATGCAGAAATAAAAATACATCACATAAAATGACCAAACTAAAATCAGAAATACATCGGGCAGATTGTGGCCGTAGATCTACGGCCACGTCGGCGGTAGACTTTCCAACTGATGTCCCCATCAATAGGTCTTCATAGCCTAGCATAAACATGTCAATTGGTAGGATTTCTCTTAAGTGGCTGTCCATTGACGTAGCACTGACTCGGCCTTGTAATTCGACTCAAAATTAAAGCCAATTTGACTGTAATCTAATTTGATTTCAAGCTTTCTTCAGTTTTTTGGTATGGTTGTTCATCGCCTGAAAGACCCTGGTTTCTTGAATGGGTCGAAGGGTTCTCGTTTTTTTAAAGACGCTTTGTCTGGGCTTGCTCCTTCACTGAATTTTTTCTGAATCTTAAAATAACATCTCACTATGGATTGTCTTACATAGGGATTTTGGAAGATGAAATTCCTGCGCTTGCAACCCTCCTTCAAGTTCGCTTTGGTGGGAAAATTCCCTGGTCATAGGCCCTCTCTTGATGCCATTTGGAATTTTTTCTTCAACCTCAAAATTTTAGGTGATTTAACCATTACTTTGCTCAACCTGAAGCATATGTTGATTAAGCTTGTTAATGACTTGAATTATTGTAAAGTGTTTTCTCACCATTCTATTTTGTGAGCAAGTGTTTCATGAAAGTGTTTAAATGGACTCTTTTTTATATTGAAGTGGAATCCCCTATCATTCTAATTTGGGTTTTCTTTTGTAACCTTAGTTCTCTCCCCTTGTATCCTTCACAGTCTTGGTTCCCTATTTGTTCGGCCTCTAAAAACTAATAATACCACCTCGAGTAGCTCTAGACCCTCTATTGCTCGTGTTTTGGTTGAGCTTGATGTCACCAAATACTATCCTGATAGAGTTTGGGTTGAACTTGAAAATTTGGGTTATATACAGTCCATGATTATGGAAGATTTTCTTGTTGTGTTAGTTTTTTTTTTTTTCCAAAGCTTATTCTTTTTCGTTGTAGGTTGTTTTTTCTTGATGCTGTTCGTGCAGATTGTTTAGTCTACTCCAACTGTGTTGCTGCTCTACTTCTGAGAGTTTCTGGTTCTCTTTGTTGGTGATCTTGAGTTGGGCTATTTTTTGGGTTTTTTTTTTTTTTTTTTTTATAGCTTTTCCTCATGTTGGTTGTATTATATTATTAGTTGGATCATAAGTTCATTAGGCTTTACATAAAATGTTATATTTTTAGAGAGCTCTTAATCCTTTAAGAATTTGCAACCGTTTTATTCATATTAATACATAGGCCCATCCATGATTTTATATATAAAAAAAAAGACCAAAGTTGCCAGCGACAATAACATTGAGCTTTGGTTAGATCAATTGTTCTCGCCTTGGTAAAGAAGACAGACAGTAGCGCCTTATGTAAGAGAAATTATTATGTGCGGAGTCCGGATGATGTACAGACTCCAATCAAAATAGGTCACGTTATCCTATACACATTGTGTACAATTTATACACAGCTTGTACACATGGTGACGTGATCTATTTTGATTGGAGTCTAAACATAAGTTGTATCCGGACTCCTCATATAATAATTTCTCCTTATGCAATGAAGTTAAAATGATTATAATTTAGCCAAAGATTTATATAAGCTCTTTTTAGTTTGATTGATGAAATTAAAGGAAATCTAAATGCCTTTTTGTTTAGAAAATTATTTTGGTTTTGATTTCAATGTAATTAAAAGATAATTGAATTTATTTAAAAATTATGAATAAATATATTTTTGTCGATACTCTAATACTAAAATAGATAAAAAAAATAGAAAGAAAATTTACTAAGTCGTTGTTGAGACTCAAACGGGAACTTAAAAAAAATCAAATTAAGAATTAAAAAAATACTTTCCATTAAATTTGTTCTTAATAAAAAAAGTGGGTGAAAATACATTTCAATTAAATTTCTTAATGCAAACAGAACATTAAGAAAATATTATGTTGTTAACACAACTAAATTATTACATATTTTCTAAATTATGTATAATAAATTAAACATCTAAATTTTATATTTTCAATATTAATGATATTCATTTTTATTGTTTACTTCTTGCCTAAACATAGGCATAGGTATGCTTATATTAAGAAAATTATTAAACAAAAACTTAATCTTTTAAAATTTTCACCGACCTTTTTATATACTATAATAGCAATAACATTTTCTAGATTTGCACCTCTTTGTTGCCCTATTCTTCATAGCACTCTAAAAACTATTTCTCGAGTCAAGTGTAATTGTCGTGGTCGAACATCTTCATTTTACGTCAATCTCCTAATCACTATCATCACCAGCATTCAACAATCCATTATTGACTCTAATGTAATCCCAAGATATCAGAAGAGATACACATTTAGCAGGGTGAGAGATATAGAAGGGAACATTTTATTAGGGTTACTTAACAATGAGGAATAGAAAGAAAATATCACAAAAGACGAACACATATAATTTAAGTAGTGACTCATAGACCGACATCCACTGTTAAGGCGAACATGATAAAATGTTAAATATATCAACAATTAAAGTACAACAAAATAGTCTATGATGTCTAGGATGCTTTCTCAATGACACTGATATAAAGCTATAAGAGGAGAGAAAAACAATAGAGAGAGGTTACACCCAAGAGAAGTATAGCTTTATACTACAAACTTTATATTGAATCTTTTAAATTAAATAATTAGCCTTATATGCCAACTTGAATGCTCGCCATGGAAGGCTGAGGAAACTTCTCGAATAGCTCTTAGAGTTAGTGATAGCTTGGAGAATATTAGGGAGTTCGCAAGCAAGCATATCTAGAATCAGTAATACTTCAATAATTAAATGATGGAACCTAATAGTTAAACTCAAAGTTTAATTTGCATATTTGTAATAATGTTAGACTAGTTGTTTATGACAATAATGGAGGATAAATGAAGTCATATCATTAATGGGAAGAAAGAGAGTCAATATTCGATCTTTTTCTGGTATGATTTAAAAAAAAGGATTTAAGAGGATAGATATTACATCCATTTGTTGTATTATTAAATGATTAATCACATGCTTACTATTTGATGTGTAATAGTTTATAGCACTGATGTGCTCTACAACTAGTATAATGCATCAAATATCATAGGAATTGCAAAAAATGCTTGCTGAAACTAGCACAAGGATGTGCTGAGGAAGATTCAAATCTTTTTTTAGATTGATTTTCAAAAATAATTCAAGAGGATCCGAAGACATTTCCCCTCAATAAGACTTCTCAACAAGAATTCTCAAGAAAATGGCTCAAGAAGCAACTCTCAAGGGGAACACTTGAGAAGGATTAAAAAAAAAAAAAGAACCTTTAGTACAAGTCACTTAACTATAGCTCATACTAACATTGCACAATCATGTTAGCACTTCAAGTCTTCATCTTATCCTTTCATACCTATGATGGATGCATATATCATGGATACTACATAAAATCTTTCAAAAATATTTTAGATTTACATATTGCATTTGTGAGATAATCATCTACTCATATATTCATGACAATCAACATACCAAATTTTAACTCTTAGCCATTGTTCGACTTGTATTTCTCCATTTGTCTTTTGGGTCATCATTAATAATATTAATTTGATTCCTTGTTAACTAAAAACTCCTAATAGAATCACTAATGATAATCTTCAAACATTCAACACCATTAGCTCCTCCTCATATCACCTCCAACACAAGCAATAAATGGATGTTATGGGCATAGGCTACCTTTTTCACTCACAACACTGCATTATTTCACTTTGTTTTTTTATTAAATTGACATTTTTATTGACGTTATCCAGTAATACTCTTAATGAATGCTCTCTATGATAGTATTCATGCCTTCTTTGATATTTATCTCATTACTAGTTATTTGCATCCATCTCTCTCTCTCTCTCTCTCTCTCTCTATATATATATATATATTAGAATAACAAATGAAATAAAAAAATTTAAGAATGATCGAACTCGCAAAATTGACTTGCATCGAGAGTTTAACGTGAATTCCAAGGTAAAGAATATTTTAGGAGAAAAAAAATGATCCACTTTGTGTGTGAAGGCTCCTTAATGGTAAACCAATGTTGAGCTAACGAAAAAAGAGGTAAGAAAACTTGCTAAGTATGTGAAATGTTGAGGAAAAATATTATGTAAAAGGTGAATTGCGGAAGAGCAAGAAAATTTTATCGCCAAGCCAACTATTTTAAGATGCTGAGCTATCCAAGGATTGAAAAGGAAAATTATTAGGAGAACAAGTTATAAATGAGGCGCCAAGAAAATAATTCAAAGATGTTGAGTTGTTGACATATGCAAAGAATTTAACTTGTCTTAAAGGCAAGTTGCAAAAGGAATATCTCTAGAATGTTGAATTATCGACTAGTGTTGAGAAGGGTAAATACAAGAAGAAAGAAATCAATCAATTTTCGATGGTTCGACATCTTAGAATTATCTTGTCCTACAGGATCTTATCGTTTCCTATTAAAGACTTAATTTTGATTATTCTAAAACTTAAAGCTCACCATCATGATATAAGATAGATTGACTAAAATCCAATGCAATATATATTACTTGAGATCTAAATAGGTCAAAATTTCCCCTATCATTAAAAAAAAAACAACTAAAAACATTGACATAAATCCAATGCTACATACATTACTTAAATATATTTAAATAGGTCAAAATTTCTTTTATAATAAAAAACTTACCGTGTAACCAAAAAAAAAAAATTTAATGCATTACCATCGAGTGTGCATACATACATGCATAATAAAATTTTACACTTATAAAGAATAATGCAAGGATATGAGCCAGTCTGATCCATGCATGTGTAGATACCATCACGCGCCTTCCAACGGTCGAACTAAGATGGGAACAATATCATTCATTTGCCGTTGATCGCTGGTTCGCCTTCCAACATCACCTTCTCCTCAACGTAGACCGGCGACGCCGGTTCGCTCGCCGACCCTATTCTTTTTGCCCCTCCGGTAACCGGTGTAGACGGGCCGCTCGACAACTCACCGGACGTCGCGCAGACAGGTGTCGGCGGCTCGCTCACCGAACTTCTCAGACCCAAGGTAAGCTTTTCCCTCCAGAACTCAAAGCTCCACCGCGCTGCCTCCAAGCCGCCGCCTCTCTCTACTTCCACCATCACTAACTCCGGCGATAGACGGTAAACGTCCACCCAAACAATGAGGTTCCCCATCCAACCCTCCACGGCGGCGGCGCCACGCCCCTTCAAACTCCTCAGCCGCCGGCGAACCACGAGCCCTTCTTCCCTTCCCACCGTCTCCACCCTCACAAGCACCGCATCGACAGGCCCGGCCGAGACGAAACGCTTCCGCGCCTTAACGGTTGAATTGAAGAAGCCGGATAGGTCAAATCTGGAGTAAAGGGAAATTATATCGAAGGCATTGAGATCTCTGTCGTCGTCCTCATCGTTTTCCCTCTCGATCCTCGCAATCCGTTCTTCGATATCCTCCCGGAATCTCATCAATCTAAACATGTTTCCCTCTTCCAGCCCCCTTCTGAACCAGGGGTCATTCAGAATTCCCTCCACGGTTATCCTTGTCTCCGGATTGGTATCAAGAAGCCTGGAAAGCAGCCGACGGAGCTCGGGAGAAATCCATTTAGGGCATCGGTACTCACCGAGGTAGATTTTACGGTACAATGCCATCAAATTGGGATCATTGAAGGGTAAATATCCAGCACTGAGAACGAATAGGATGACCCCGCAGGACCAAATGTCGACCTTAGCCCCTTCATAGCCCTTCCTGGAGAGAATCTCAGGGGCAACGTAAGCCGGAGTACCGCAAAGCGTGTGAAACAGGCCGTCGGAGCGAATCTGTTCGGCCACAGCGGAGAGGCCGAAATCAGAGACCTTGAGATTACCGGAATCATCGAGGAGGAGGTTCTCAGGCTTGAGATCACGGTGGAAGACGCCGCGCGCGTGGCAGAAGGCGATAGCGAAGATAAGCTGGTGGAAGAATTTTCGGGATTGGTCTTCGGAGAGGTGACCACGGGCGACGCGGGAGAAGAGCTCGCCTCCCTTGGCGTACTCCATGACGAAGTAGATATTGGAGCGGGAGGCGAGGACTTCGAGGAGTCGAACGATATTTGGGTGGTGGAGGCGGCGCATAACGACGATCTCGCGCTTGGTGTGAACGACGAGGCCGCCGCGGATAACCTTTGCCTTGCTGATGATCTTAATCGCTACACTGTGACCCTGGAGGATGTGGCGGGCGTAATAGACTTTGGCGAAGGCTCCGTAGCCGAGGAGCCTGCCAATTTCGTACTTGCCGAAGATGATCTTTGCCGGCGCCTCCGGCGGGGCGACGCCGGAGGCCGTCATGTATTGGGCGTCGACGACTCGAGCTCTGCTCCAAATTGAGTGAAGGAGGGAGGAGAGCGAGAGGGGAAGATGCTTCTCCTCTCTTTGTTTAATGGAGGTTGCAACAAAGCACGGACTTCTCGGGGAAGTCTACGGACGATAGAAGAGAGAGATATTTATAGGTTTGTTTGAAATTTGTGAGCAGACGTATTAAACGAACTGATGCCTTCAACGATCTGCTGTTCATTTGTATTTTTTTAAAGGCTTTGAAAAAATAAAAGAATATACCTAAAATTGCAAATGACTAGAAGTTGATAAATTGAATTAATATTTCAAATAATAATAAAATTAAATTACTTTTTAACAACTATGCAAGGCTTTTAAAACCGGACCGGACCGGCCGGTTCAACCGGTTGAACCGCGAACCGGCCAGCCGGCCGGTTAAGGTTCAAATGAGAACCTCTTTCGCTGAGAACCGGGATAAACCCGTTCGAACCGGCGGTCTGACCGCCGAACCGGTTCCGGTGTCTGATAACCGGCCGGTTCGGATCTAGATCCAACGGCAACGATTTGAGGAGGGAAAGCTAATACGCGGAGATGAAAAAAAAAACCCTCATTCGCATCCCGCTTTCGCATCCCGCTCTCGACTCTTCGGCTTCGAGCAACAGAGGAAAAAAAAAATCTCATTCGCAGCTCTCGACTCACCGTCTCCATTCTTCTCCTTCGCGAATCAAGAAGCCAACCCCATCTCCTCCTGCAGGCGTACTAGTTCGTGAAACCACAAGCCAACCACCGAACATCCTGGTTTGTTTCAGAATCTGAAGTCTTTAATCTGTATAGATTTCTTGCACATTCTTTTTTATGCATTTAGGGGTTTCTATTTTCTCTGATTTGGAATGTGAGATGATATCGTCAACAATGGCTACCAACCCGGAGGTTTGCTCGCTCCTTAGCAGCACAGTCGATGTATGGCTTCTGGTCATCACCGCCACTGCCGATCAAAGGCGAAGCTTTTCTGTAAGCAAAAATAATTATGATCAGCAAGAGCCCCATGATTTGCTTAAGCATGGAGCTGCTGAAGACTAGGTAAGTTCCTTTTGAGAATGTTTTTATTGTTAAAAAAGTTTGCTAAAAATTTATTTGATAATTTTTTGAATAAAAATTCAATGATTTTCTGTGAGAAAATTTGTTGATGTCTTGATAGTTGTTAGTTGTATATATGTGTATGAGCATAGTCAAAACACTATCTCAAATGAAGACCAAATATTGCCAATTATAAGCTTATAGATTTTAAATCCTCTGCTAGAATTAAATATCTGGTTATTTTTTAAATATAATAAATATTTATTACATCATCCGGTTCGACCCCGATTCGACCCCGATCGAACCGCTAACCTCTTCTTTTTCCGGTTCATTGTCCGGTCCGGTTTTCAAATCCTTGCAACTATGTATATATTTTTGCTGAATAAAAAATTCTATATATTTTAATATTAGCACTTCCAAAGATTTCTTAGGCTCAATCAAATCTAATTTAGGGGTCAAACTCAATAAAATTTTTTGAAAAAAATAAATTAAAATATACATTTAAAATTTAGGATAAATCAAAGCCATAAACTTTTTAATTATTATTATAAAATATTTCAAATAAAAGGATTTTGAAAATATTAATGTTACTCTAAAATAAAAAGAAAATACAAAATAAAATTTTAAAGTACATAAAATTCACTTTTAGTCAATTTTGATATATTTAAAATCCATTATATTTGATTGATTATCAAACACATTGTAAATTCTCCAAACACTAGTATCGCGGCTAAACATCACAAGATCACGGCCAACCATCACCGATCGTAGGTTGCGGTCATTAACGGCCGTCGACCGTCGACCGCTGTCGACCGTCGACCGCTGTCATCACTATCACCCCCACTAGTTGTCACTACCACCCATTACTAGCCACCAACCACCCCCGACCGGTTAATATTGCCGCTACTTATAAGTCAATTGCCATTGTTATCATTTGAGATTATAGTGCATACATTTTAGTTTAAATAAAAAAAAATAATTATATATACTTATTTTAAATTCACTAAATCCTTTTATGTGTATTTCATTTTAGTCTATATTTCTTTCCTTTTTTTTATCCAAAAAAAAACAGCCCCACTAGATTATTTTAATGAGAACAAATGCTGCGAATGAAGCCGGTCATGTTTGGAATCGAGCAGTTTTCCAGATGTCGCTCTCCCGTGAAAGTATTCATTTCTGATGATTGGAGCATGCTACAAATTTCTATGACTGAGCTGACAGATCAAAGATGACCGCTAAGAATTTTTTTTTTTTAATAATTTGGATCACTTTTTTTGTTATTTATATTAAAATTTTAAAATTTTAATATATTATATAAATAAATCATATATAAAATACTATCTACATGTTTATCAACAGCATTAACTGCTTGCAACCACAATTATTTTTACAAACTGAAATATCCACAGCGATAAATGAATAATTTATCTTCTTGCAAAATTTTCAAAAACAAAGTTTAGAGTAGCACGATATTTTTTTAGTAACAAAATCTCAAAGTGAGAAAATCCAGATGACCTCGGTAAAATGGACATCGAATATTGATCATTAGTAGGAGCCAGATTATAATCGATGAAAAATGACATAGAGGTCGAACAATATTGGATGGTCTACTTTATCAATCTCATTATAGAAGAGGAGATTAAAAGACTTGAAAAAAATAAACATAAAACATCAATGGCAATAAAGACAAACATGGGCATTTGGTAAGCGTCAGACGACTACCATTTAAAACATTTAGATTGAGTGATGGAAGGCAAAGTGATCGTAGGCAATCAACTCATCATTCTTCTTATATGAGTGGAGACCAGCAATAGGAAGGCCAAAACTAGGTGTTGACGACTAGTATTGTCAAGAAAATTTTGAAGGCCGGGCCGTGTGACCAATTTTATCATTCTTCTTATAAAAAGGAACATCAGGCATCCAAGAAGATAAACTTTAAATATTGATAATCGAGAAGCATTGGAAGCTTGTGGGCATCATATGACACAAAATATCAAAGGTCCCTCCCATGACATCATGCATTCCACTCGGTTATTCTAATTATAGAATGAAAGGCAACCAAAACGAGCATTGGGCATTAATGACTAGTGAACATCAACCACCAATACTTAGTGGGAGTTTATTAATGGTTAACAATGAACATTGGAGGTAATACGATATTGAGTGATTGACTTGATCTTTCTTCTCATAAACAACGAGACCAGCAAGCCAAGAAGAACAAGCATTAGTCATCAGTGGCTAGTAACATAGAATGTCAATGTGAGGAATATCAGAATTTAAGCAACAATAGATAAGACTACTCGATTGTTCTCCCTAAAAGGAAGATTGAGCAACTAAAAAGATAGGCAATAAATGATAGTGGCTGTCGGTGGTTATTTTCACTGCATTGTCTCTCAGGGAGAAAAAAAGGGAGGTAAACAGTTCAGGTATTCTTTGGCGGTTCAAGAGATGGAAGATTTCAGCACACGTCAACATCTACTATACATTAAGAGATAAGGAAGGTCCCATGACAACAATGGCTAGTAACATCGGACATCAATGGGCATTAAGCATCAATTGACTAGGAATTTTCGAGGTCAAGCAATATTGTACAATTGATTTAATCATTCTTCTTGTATGAGGGGATATAAGGCAATCGTAATGATTGTCATCCAACTTCAATGGCTAACACAGATCAGATAACAATGTTAGGTAGATATTAAGTGATAATCAATTATGCATGTGAAATGTTCAGAGGCATTGGACAATCGGACGAAATCTAGCATTTGCTCAATTATTCTCTTAGTAAAATAGACATTGAACGACCAAAAAGATAAGTGTTGAATATAGATGACCAACGACATTGAAAGTCAGTGGACTAGCTAACAAACTAGAAACATTAGAGGTCGAACAATGACTAGTGATATGCTCAATCAATACATGCAATAAATGTTGGCAATTTACATCAAATGGTTGTGATGAGATTGATCGACAAATGATGTTTGACGGTGATGATGTCAAGCACTGTTATTTATCAATCGTAATGCTTAGCCATGGCAAAAAGTCTAGTCATTGAACAACGATCAAAATCTGATGGAGACAACAATTAGTATTAAGTAATGAACACTGGCTACCATTGATGTTGGTCAACAACAACCATCAAAGTTAATCGATGGACGACATCTAGCAATGGCAACATCAAGCATTAACATTTCTCCACAGTTGGCACCTAGTAGTTGCAATGATGGGTGTCAATACTAGTCAAAAACTAACACCAAGTGATGACAATGTCGAACATCGTACATCGATTGACAATATCATGCAATGGCAAAAACCATTAACATCAACCAATGATCGATGTTGGGTAATGTCTACTATGCAATGGCCACCAACTAACATTAGGTAATAGTAATGGCAAGCATCGATTATGGTTAAAAATTATCATCTAACAATGATGATAACAACATTAGATGCCAATCAATAACCAATGTCAAGCATCAGCATATATCATTGATAAGCATCCATGTTGTTCTACTATATTGATTGATGACATATATCAACACCTATCAACAAGTATTGGTAAGAAAATCTTTGGAATTCCCATGTCTAAGAATTCTTTTAACCAAAAACTCTTCATCTATGTAAGAAAATAACATATTTATAAATTTCTATAAGGACTATTCCAACCATTTCGATCAAAATCAAAACACCTCATCAAACAATTTGAATGTACTCCACTTGGTCATAACATGTTTATTGAGCATCTCATTACCTCACAAAACTTCAAATGAAATCATCTTAAACTCATTATATTCATCTCATTGAAATGCTCATTTTAATTACATAAACCCTAATAAAATTTTAAGGATATTTAACCCATCAAATGACCAAAATAAAATTTTAATTATCTTTTTAACACTTTAGTCTAATCCTATTTAAACTCGGGTTATCTTTCCTAATTCATCTTGTCAAGCCAAATCTTCTTAGTTATAAATATGAAGAAAATATAATTTAGATGATTTCAAAGTTCACTCCAAAAGTTTATTGCTAGATAAAAAAAATGTCAAGTAAAATATCAATTATAAGTATTTAAAATCTAAACATCATTTGACCAGAAAGTTTAAACCGCATAAATTAATGTCAAAGAGTACATTATAAAAATGGATTCCAGTTGGTTATCTTTAGCCAGTCTAATTAGATCCACAAATCTCCTGCTCTGGCCCATCACATATGGAATTTCATGACATTACAATATGGAACAAAAAACTTGGGGCGCTCTCAGCAGAGTCAGAAATTGAAACTACTCAATATAAAAACCTCCTATCCTGCGTTCACAATATCACGTAGCCCAACAGATGAGAGAACGAAACCAGTATAATAACAGCTAAATGGACCTACAATTAGTACCATGGATCTACTAACTTTTGGGATGTAAAGTGAATGTTCTGATAAATATTTAAATAAAACTAATGATGTTGCCGCAAAATGTGTAGACTATGGCTATTTTTATGAAGTAAACGTTCTATTTTGAAATCAAGTTGTATATAATTTTGTGTGTAATTTCAGGCAATCCCCCCTGCGTGATTCACCTGCAAGCAAATTGTTGAGAGAATGAACTTATTGCAAAGGATAAGTCAGTTTACGAAATTGTACCTTCTTTATATTTTTTAACGAAGCTAATGAGCAGATGTAGCCTGCAACATCGCAAGATTGGCTTGGCGATTACCCAAATGATACGCAATGGCTAACCACAAAAAGCATAACTGAAAATAAGAAATGAATTGATCATAATTAGTTTGAAAGTTTATCCATAAGATCCATTTAGTTGAGGAAATTCCTTAAAAGCATGGAGAACATAATAACCATCTATGTTAAGAAATTTGAAGCATGTGATCTTGATTCTTATAGCCAGAACAACTAAGACTTTATTTGGAACAGCTTTTTTACTGCTTCTTAAAGTAATTTTTTAGTAGAAAATTAAAAAAAAAACTGTTTTAAGAAACAATAAGAAAGTTATCCCAAACAAAGCCTAAATCAGTTTAAATTATGTGTTTTCCCAATTTTGTGTTCTTTCTCAAATTTGGAATAGAAAGTATTTTGATGGCAGTCTCAGAAGGCTTTTAAGCCATGAACTCTGTAAGTATGCTGCTAGGCGCACAATGCTTAATTAACAAATTAAACATGCAGCATTAGAAATACGTTCATAGCGCAACAAAAAAATTGGTTTTTTTTTTTTTTTTTTGGTTTTCAACAAGACTGTTAAATCAATGCAAAAAATCTGTTACAGGACTACCCCTCCAATCCGAAGATGATTCATACCTTACATCCAAATAATCTCCATTTTTGGCAAATATCATATTTAATGTTTTCAATTTAATACTTGAGCAAAACCTCAATAAAAAGTTTCAACCGTTCAATATTGTAAGATATTTTTAATCTTGCACCTTCGATCTTATATCTCAAAAATTGGAAGTTGGAATGATTGATGGATCCCATGGCTGTTCATCAAATGTTGGATTTGGTTATTCAGGTTTTGTTTTGGACAAGCTTTTTCACAATGTTATTTTTCAGAAAGCAAAGTTGTGATTGGCTAACTTTCTTCTTACTTCTGAATAATTTTCGTGGTTGAAAATAGCTTTTAATAACCAAATTTACTAGTGTATAATAATTATATAGTACTCACAGCATCTTTTACAAAATCAGCTTTTCTCATAGCGTAGAGACAAGCATAATTTGTCCTAACTGATCCTTTGATTTTGCTTGCAGCATCTGTGGATACTTCTTTCTGGAATCCATATGCAGCTCAATTCCTAGTCTAGCACGATTTGTAAAGGGCATTCTCTGTTGAGATGCTTGGTGGATATCTTGTGTTTGTATGGGCCTCCTCATTTCGGCTTGAGTTTTATTCGTTAGCTATGTTGATGTGCAATTTGTGGGTTACTTTTAGTGCCCGTAATTGGCTTGATATTGGAATAATTATGAACTTATTACTAAAGGTTTTGGTTTACTTTTTGGGTAGGACAATGATGACCTTGTGTTCTCCAAACTTCCTAATGCTTCAGAAACTACTCTTCAAGGATAAGATAATGTGATATATGTGCCAAGCACGATGGACTAGCTTATTCTCCTGGCTTTGGTTATGCTGGGTGATAGTTGATATATTTTCTAGATGATCCTGCATATTAATATTTATGAGAGCTTCTTAGGCTCTAGAGTTTCGGTTAATGGAAATGTGATGCTTTTAATTTTATCTTGAATTATCCACCTCTTCAACCAGTCTCTTCTTGTTTTTGCGGACCTGGATTTATTTTCCTTACAGATTGATGCTTAACTTCTCTATTCAGTGCCGCTCACTAATATCCATGGCTATAAATTTGTTTTTCGGTTATATCACTAGATCTTTTTTGTGCTATACCCGACATTTAAATGGATTATACAAGAGGCGGTATAGCTACAATTTTTTTACGAGGAAATGATGGGACCAAATGCATATATGTGACTCAACTAGGCAGCAGTTAATTCTTACTATGCGCCTTTCTAGGTAATAACATAGCTTTCGATTTTGACTCCCTTGAATAGTTCCTTATCATATACTTTTTTTTTTTTTAACTCTTATAACATATCCGTAATTTTGGATGACCTAATACAGTTTTTACATCAATTTTTTAGAAAATTTTCACTTCAATACAACAACAACAACATCAAGTCTTTATCCCACTACTTATGTGGTCGGCTACATGAATACTTTTTTTTTCCATTGTGCCCTGTTAAGAGTCAATTTCTCATTTAAATCTAATAAAGAAATGTTATTTCTAATATTTTCTAACCAAATCTTTTTAAATCTACCTCTACCTTTCTTAACATAAGCCAAATCTAATACATCTACTCTCATAATCGGGTCATCGGAAGGCCGCCGTTTTATGTGACCAACCCATCTAAGGAGATTCTCTCCAATCTTATCTTACACTGAAGCTACTCCAACCTTTTCACATATATGCTAGTTTCGTATCTTGTCTCTAAGAGTAAAGCCACTCATCCACCTGAGCATCCTCATCTCTACAACACTTAACTTAAATATTATACTTCCCTTTTAATGGCCAATATTTTGAACCATAAAGCATTATAGGTCTCACCACCATCTTTTAGAACTTTACCTTAAGTTTGAGGGGGACTTTTCTATCACACAACAACCCCGATGCATTCCTCCAGTTCAACCATCCAACTTGAATTCTACTAATAATATCCCCATCTATTTTACCATCACTCTGAACAATAGATCCAAGATATCTAAAATGTGTACTCTTATTAATGACTTGATTGCCCAAAATCACAATCCCCCCACTAGATCTATTACTAAAAAAATTACATTCCATATATTCGGTTTTAGATCTACTCGAACAAAAATATATAGACTCTAAGGTTTACCTCCATAATTCAAATTTACCTTCAACTCCCCTCTAGTCTCATCAACAACAAGAATATCCTCAGCAATTACACCAGGGTACATCCTCTTGCAAATATCTAGTGAGAACATCCATGACTAAAGAAAAAAGATACGAGCTTAAGGATGTTCCTTGATGTAATCCAACTAAAATAAGAAAATACTTGGTCAAACCACCTTGTGTTTGAACACAACAGCTCCTGCATACATATCCTTAATGACTTCAATATAAGCATTATTAATCATATTTTTTTTCTAAAACTCTCCATAACACTTCTCTTGAAACTTTATAATATGCTTTCTCTAAATCAATAAATATCATATGTAGATCGTCCTTATTTTGTCTACACTTCTCCATCAAACCTCTCAACAAATGTACAAGTAGACTTAGCTGGCATGACTCCAAATTGATTTTGAGAAATATTAGTACCACGACGTAACATATGCTCCATAACTCTCTCCCATAGTTTTAAAATATGACACATTAACTTAATTCATCTATAATTCTCACAATCTTGTGCATCATCTTTATTCTTAAAAATAAGAATCAACACTCATTCTCCACTCATCTGGCATCTTTTTAGTCTTCAAAATAATATTAAAAAGTTTAGTAAGCCCAAAAATTCCTTCATCTCCTAAGCATTTTTACACCTCTATTGGAATATCATTAGGTCCAACAGCTTTTTCACACTTCATTTTCTTTAAAGCCTCTCCAACTTCGATTTAATTAATACTCTGATAAAAACACGTCTTTATTTCAATTAGGGTGCTATGGCCACTAAAGTCTATTGTATTCTCACAATCTTCATTGAAAAGTTTAGCAAAATATCTCATCCACCTTTGTTGAATATCCTCTTCTAATAAAAGTAGTTTTTTATCTTCATCCTTAATGAACTTCACTTGAACTAAATCCTTACTACTTATATCTTTTTTTTGGCTAACTTATACATATATTTTTCGTCCACCTTAATATCTAATATATTATATAAATTATTAAAAGCTAAAATCTTTACATCGTACATCACTTTCTTAGACTCCTTACGGACCTTTATATTTTTCTCAATTATTAGAGTTTTTACATCTAAATCAATCTTTATAACAAAACTTCTTATTTTTTATCTTTTCTTGCACATTTTGATTCCACCATCAACTATTTTTATTATTATGAGCTTTTCCCTTTGACCATTTTCACTTCAATAGTTTAATTTTTCAATTTCAAGTAAAAATATTGGTTTCTTTACTATTATTAATTACTCTAAAATATTACTTATTTTGGACACCTAGTTCAAAATATAAAATACAAATTTTCTCATAAGGTCTATCTTTTCATGCTACGTTTTTTATTAAGTGGATGGCAGGAGTTGCTATATATAGTCATGTTTTGAGCTTTTATTTATGGCAGAGCTGACATCACTAATAATGATGTTGCTCAAAAGCTTTGTTGGTGTATATATACATATATCTTCTCTTAGCTTATATTGGGAGCTTAGACTTTCAATCAATTAAATTAGATCTGAAATTAAATTAGTTAAAAAAAGGGGGATGACAATAGAGAATTTTGATTTTATAAGCCTCATAATGGTGAAAATTAAAGAAATGTGACCCGAATTTATTTTCATGAAAAAATATATCTAAAAGTTCCTTTCAAACTTGAATCGCTCCCTCTTGCATATGCTGAACACTTACTGAAAGACATCAAAAATAAATTTGGTTCAAATGGATTCAAGTTTGAACACTTCTTCAAACCTCATTCAAACATATGTTCAAATATTTGTTTCAACATGGAATAAAACTGAGTGAAGTCATTGTTCGCCAGTGAACGCCATTGCTTGCAATGGGAGTAGCCAATATGAGATTGTGATGGGAAGAGACTAGAGCTCAATGGGGGATGGCTTCGCCAGGACTAGACCAGTGGCGAGTGAATGTGAGAGGAGTTCATGACGGGAGCTCGCTTAGGGCGTCAACGGGATTGACAACGTGTGAAGCTATATTCACGACAAGAGCTCCTTTAGGGAAGATATCAACAAGACCGATAGCGTGTGAAGGTGAGACATGTTCGCAACATAAACTCGCTTTTGTATGGAATTAATGAGACCAACGGGGTGTGAAGTTGAGAGGTGTTCATGAAGGCAACTCGCTTGGAGATAGGAATCAAAGGAACCAATGATATGTGAAGGTGAGAGATGTTTGTGTTGGGAACTCATTGAGAGAAAGTGTTGACAAACTCGACAATGTGTGAAGGAGAAGAGTTGTTTGTGATAGTAGTGTGCATGCGAAAGAGAAGAGGGGTTCGTTATCAGATCGAACTTAGTTCAAACAAGGTTTAAACTTGGTTCAAACTAGTTTGAACCTATGTTTGGCTTGAACCAGGTTCGGATGTAAAGTCAAAATAATTTCAAACAAGAATCGAATTCAAACATGCTCAAATCATTTTAAATACTTCAATTTCAAAAAGAAGTCCAAGAATATAAGAGGTTACTCATTATAATTGACCACAACTATCAAATAAATAAATACATATTTAAAAAATAAACAAGTTCATTTTTTTCAATCAAGTAAATAAACAACTTTTTAGTAGACCAAAAACAACAACATCCATGCAAGAATTCTATTCAATAAAGAAACAAGAAAAAAAAAAGACAAGAATATATAAATTTAGTTGACTCACAACTTTAAATATAGTTGACAAAAGGCAATAGAGTGCATGCTGGTATTTTATTTAATAAAGCATCAGAAAAATAATACAAATTAATTTGATTCTAGTTCGCTAATCCCATAAGAGATTAAAAATCACTCTACTCCCAGACTCAGCTCTCTACGGGCAGAATTACATGACTTAGTTATGCAACCTCCTTATTCTCTAGGCTAAGGATTATGCATCTTGTAGTCATTTGAAGGTTGCTTAATCTTCTTTCACCCATTCCATATTATCCTATAATATTGTTAACCGGGCGAAATCTCTGGGTAGTGTCTTATCTACAAACCCATCTGCCTTCCAAAATTTACCCCGGAACTTAGTTCGTTAAAACTCCCTCGCCGAATAATAAAAGCAAGCGGAGGCCGGGGCCGAATTTTCGGAGCCCACAAATATGCAAGGTGCCTTCATGATAAACCTTTTTAGTGTTAATGAAACTTAAGAGTTCCATTCTTGAATGCATTCTTCTATTCATGGGAGTAAACTTTAGGCTAGTGAAAATTCACTTTCACTACTTGGAAGATATTTCAAACTTGGTGAGTCAATTAATTTGACAATATGAGATATGCTTCTCTTCATCCTTTCTTCACACACTAGTGCTTATGTTGCCTTAATAAAATAAAGAAATGTCGCATGACTTTTTGTGATAAGAGGACATTATAGAAGCTTAAAGGTAAATGTTATAAAATCATGGTTAGGATGATGATGTTTTATGGATCTAAATATTGGGCTATAAAAATTCATATATACATACAAGTAGTGTGTGATGGAAATGAGAATATTAAGATAGATATATGAAAAAATTGAGAAGGATAAAATAAAAAATGATTATATTAGATTACCAACTCGAATGATATCTATTAAAGATAAAGTAATTAAAAATAACCTAATTAGTTTGGACAAATATAATGAAGGATAGAAAATATGGTTGTTAGACGGGTTAATAAAATTAGTGTTAAAAGATAATGAAGAAAAATGAGTTGATCTAAAGTTACATGGATAGAAATTCAAAATTATTTGCAAAAAATAGGCCTAAGACCTCAAACAACACTCAGCATAAATTAATGAAAATTAAAAATTAATAATGCCAAAACCCAAATAATTAGGATAAGACCATGATTATGGAGTAGAGTAATAATTATTTTATGAACATTGTTGCTAGGATCAAATTTTATATGCTATGGTGACAGCAAAGGCACCTTAAATTTTGAATGTAATGACATCCAAATCCCTTGAGTGAACTGAGGTCTTAATACCCATTCCCATCACTCCTATGAATAATGTTTCTTACAATCGCACTATGAATAATGTTTCTTAATATCGCATTTGTATTCATTGAAAATACTCAAGTAAGAAGAATATTCTATGCCCACTTGCTTAAGCATGAATTTTAAGTATTCTGAGTACCTAACATTATGTATTCTAACATAAGGACTTGTTAAGTAGGGAAAAAAAACTCTTAAACATGAAAATATTAAGCAAGCTCATTAACCTTAATTTGGAGTTGTTGAACATGCTAGACGGTGGTTAACCCAATTACTGCCATAAAAGTCGATAAGTTTGCGAGATCAAAGCTGAGGGAAGTTGCAATTCTTTTCTAATTTCTTGTAAGCAATTGTTTTCTCCCAAAATCCTAGCAAACGAACCAAATATTGCAAGGCATGAAAATTAATAGGCAAATAAAGGGAGATTCATTAATCAACATTTTCAAAAGAAATTTTGAGCGAAACAGCCTGGCGAATGAGGCTGAAATTGAATTGCAATACATGAAGCAATAGGGTGTGCTTGGTCAAGGGCTAGAGCATCAACTTTTCAAGAAACTCTACTCTCAGTTACATAAATGAATTTATTAAAATTTATGTCATCAAATGACCCCCTAATACCTATTTCTGGATTACAAGTAATAAATTGTAGGTAGAATTTCAAAAGAAACCTTCAATTGACTTACTCAATCCTTAAAACTTAATATTCACCAATATGTGTTCCTTGCGAGAGTATCTAAATGTAAAGTTCAAATGGGTGTCCATTGTTCAGAAAAGAAATGGAACACTTTCTGTTCCAGAGACATCTACAGCATTTTCAATTTTAGCAAACACAATAATTGCAACCAAAATACTGCAAACATTAAGTTTCTGGGAAAGACTAACATACCGGTAAAGCATAAATAGAAACTGAAGATGGCCCCTTGTTAAGGTTTCCAAAAAGTATTTTATAAATTGCAGCAGCAGTTGCATCACCAAGTCTTTGAACAATAACGTCTATGCAGACCTGCAACATGCTTCCGAACACCATTAGTGTTCCAAGAGTAGACAAGTAAATGCATATATATCTAACAATTTGTTAAATAGCAAAAAAAAATGTAGATGGAATACCAGAGAACATGCTAAATTATCTAACACCACATATTTAAATACTCAGGATATAACACAAAGTTCTCCGTCATGCAAACAAGCAACTGTGTAAAGATCTAAAAAACCTAAGGATAAATCTTGCTTTAGTTCTATCAACTCAGAACTCATTACCTGATAGTGTCCGGCAAAGTGACAACTGACAACTATCAGGAGGGATTTTTCTCAGTAATGTAGTATATTCCTTTTATTAACTAGTTAGTGTTTTAATTTAACAAAACAGTTTGAGAATATTCTAAAAATATTAAGCAGAATTTAGACATAATAGTGAGGTTTGATTGATTAAGCCTTCTTGGAGGTATACCAAACTTAGGTGTGACAAAGAAAAATTAGCATGATTTGACAACGAGGAGCATTTTTGTGCAGATTATGTTTTATCATGTTCTATGCAATCATAAAATGAGAAGCATTTTTTTCACAAGTACTTAATCACCTTAACTACTATATATGCGATAATTCTGCTCTAAGAGAACATTGGATAACACAGCCACATGTCCTCAATTTTGAAAACTGTAGTCTGAAAGTTAATCCAGGTCATTCATCTCAGTTTAAACTTTCATTTTGATAAATAGAATGTTCTTAATTTCAAAACAATTGCTATTACAGCCACAATTCTAAATCTGCTTCAAATCATCTTCCTAAAATTTCACATTCACATCAGCTCGCAACACAACTCTGCTACCCTGCTTTTGCGCCTCATGCAGCCCCTTGCTCACAACGATTCACTATAATAATGTGCCCTTGCTCACTTACAGGAACAGGATCAGTGAACTTATCCTCATCCATGCAACAATTTTCCGGCGGAGGACTTAAATGCACTCTTATTGTAAGCGCTCATTGTATTGTATCACTTAACATATGTGTAGTTTTAGCCTTCGCTGCTATATTTGTCTCCTACACAAGACAATGACTGTGCCCAACCTTATTGCTCGTACTCATTAAATGAGCAAGCATACTTGACCTATTCATCTACATGATCTTAGTTTCTCTTTAACTCTATGGTTCTCTCCCATTTCAGTGTCATGGCTTCTACGTTTCCTCTTCATGAGACAAAATCCTCCACCATCGGTATCACCATCATTTTTAATGGCACCAACCATCTCTTGTAGTCAAGGGCTTTTCGATTTCTTGTAGGTTCAAATAGCAAACTCCACCTTGATGCTTCTCCATTAAGCAATGACACCCACATGCTCTCAAAATCACAAGCTTAGGATTAACATGATTTTACTTGGCTCCTAAAAAAAAAATTTGACCCATCCATTGCTTCCATTATCATGTTTCAAGACACCGCCATGATGTGGGACTTTAATCATTCCACCTATTTAAAAAAATAATAATATCCCCTAGTCTACAATATTTATTATAAAAGATTTTCTCTTCAAAAAAATGGTATGTCAATTTAAGTGTAACAAAACACATTGAGAGAAAAAATGGAACGAATTACTCAAATACAATCTCTTCATTATTGGCCCTACCTCTAACAAAAAAAGAATGAAAATTTCTAGTTGCGCAATTTCTCCCTGATCTCCAACCCTCCTTTAATGGATACAATCACAACTAATGCATGCCACTCCAACAAGCATCGCTAATATTTTATGTCAAGTTTTGCGCATCAGAAAAACTCTCAAATCCCCTAGCCTTTTCCAATGATCAATCTAGACTAATAATTAATACTAGTTTGTGGGGCAAGAGAAGTTTTCATGGTCGGGAATAATAGAATGATGGTGCTCGTATAAAGATCACTTACCCAATTTTCATAGGAGCCACATTAATCATCCTCCAAAATAATGTTGGGATATGATTACCATTGATTTACCAACTTGTATCAACAAATAACTCTAGATTATTGTCTTCATCTAGTTATAACTATGTTAAAATTCATCATATTACTCATCACATCAAGGCGAGCATTCAAATGATTGATTTTTTTATCTTTCTTTTGTTGCATAGATTGAATTTCCAGTTGCAATCGCTTTACAACCTCTTCAGCTTCTTCTTCCTAAACTTATTTTGGTTGTGGAGTTCTATTTACAAGAGATGCCTGTTTTTTTATCATCTTCCAGTTGTTCTTCATTTTGCAGATTTAAAGCTGTATTTCTACAAGTGTATTTCCACTGATTAAACTGATCAGGTACATGATCAACCTTCGGACAACTTCAATGTCCATGGGATCAATAGACATTTCCACTTCTTCAACATATATGTAATAGTTGTCATTTTCATCCAACTGGAGATCCTCTCCAAGTTGGGACCACTGCTTCCAATATATAACTGTAGAGTCGGGGGATTTATTATCAACATCATGCTCTTCTCTTTCTAAGACATCCTTGTCAACATAAGCTTTCCTATTGGAGGATAACTTCTGAACCTGAGGTTTGAGCGGCCCTTTACGGTTTTCCGGATATTTGGGTTTCTTTGGAACCCAAATTTGTCGTTTTCTCGTGGCTACATACTAATGACCACCAGCATCAGAATATGCCTTCGAATGCTAATATCCCTAAGATCGTTGGGGACTTCGCTTATCATATTTTTTTGACAAAGCCTTTTGTGTATAGGCTATCAAAAGTCTCATTCATCTGTTTTCTTCCATAATATGGGTATTGACCCATACTAGGATAGTATTTTCTTGGCTCTTCATAGTAAAGAGAACGTTTAATACCCTCCTTATAAGGCTTCATCTAAACCTTCTTAGTTTGGAATGAGCTGTATTTGAAGAAATAACCTCATTGCCAGATCTTCTTAGTTTTTTCTGTAAGTTTGTATCTTTGACAGCTTTTAGTATCTTTTATATTTTGAAAGATGCAAATTCTTCCTTCTTTAGTGACTTTTATTGGCAAGAAGTCTCCCAAAAAGACTTCTTGATTTCACCTTTCGCGCTATTTCTTTTCACCCACTTCAATGACTCGAAGTCATTTCCATGAGAGATGTTTGCTTCAATATGAAGTAGTTATTACTCAGTAGAGAAGAGTGTTTCCCAGCCGTTAGCTCAAAAAACGATAATTGGCTTTTTAACGATGCTTGCAGCAGGAGTTTCAATGTTATACTCTTTGGGGGCTTCATTCTAGATCATATTCTGGTTAGCTGGAATGCTGGATTAACCACAACAGACTTCATCTTGGGAACAGAAGTTTTCTTTTGAAAGACTAGGATAGTAGCAAGTGTTATAGAAAGCCTGGAAAATAAGGAAGATCTCTTGGGAGCTTTTTCGTTATCAGCTTCAGTAAGCCTCATAGCAGCACCCTTGACAGTCATTTTGTCAACATTGTTCTCAGGAAGGAACTACATAACTTCAAAAATAGTTTTGAATTGGTTGGTTGCTCCAGCATAGCTTGTGTTCAAGATGACTTGAGGGAATTGTACTCTAGCTCCCTCGTCTAATTTCACAGTCATGAATGATTTCACAAGCGTCATATTCAGCAAACTGTCAATAGAACTTGAAGGGATTAGAGTAAACCTGAATTCTATTGGAAAAAAAAAATATGAGCATGTAATAAACATCTATATTTATTTTAGATGTTTTTGTTGTTTGAGACTAAATATAAATTCTCTTTTCATCCAGAAATGGAGAGATAAGTATTCCCCAACAGAGTCGCTAGAAATCTGTTGCCTCAAGAAAAACGGCGCATCGGCATGAATCTCTCTTTACAGACATAGGATTTTATTTCCCTTAAGTTAGATTTTAGTTAACTAGATTTCCCTTAAGATAGTATCAGGGTTTAATTAGATATAGGACCTTACTTCCCATGAGCACAAGTACTCATAGTTAGTTACCCCTCTTATTGCATAAGAGAGAACTCACGATTAAGAATGAATAAATTTTAAGTATTTTAATCTCAATTATGGTATAAAATGGAGGTAAACCCGATCAAGATCTCATGGTTCTGTCATCCCGAGTATATCGTAGGTTTCACTCTACCAATACTAACAATCATTTATAGTAGTGTCTCGGGAATCCGATTAGCAGTAATGGGTTGCCCTCCCTTAAGGATCCCAAGTAAGTTGAAGTGGTTAGATATAGGTTGATTTGGTTTAGCTTTGAAAAAGGTGATTTGGGATTTACATCTATTAGAATATCCAGTAATTGATTTAATTTGGAGAGTTATAACTTCATTTAGAAGTTATCCAGTTAATTGAATTGATTAGGGGCTTACAGCTTCTATTGGAAGTAGCCTGATTGTTTTAGAAGTGGATCTTACAGCTTTCATTAAAAGTAGCCCGAATAGCAAGTCTTACAACTTCCTTTGGAAGATGACTAAATATTTTGGGTAGGTCTTATGGCTCATGAATTTCAAAAGTAACCTGAAACTAGGTCTTACAACCTTACTTTATAGTAAGGCTGGTCATTCATTTTGATTGTTTGGGTTTTAGGGTTGTTGCACTTTATTTAGCAATTTTTCTAACGTGTGGGTCTTACAACTTCAATTAAAAGTTGCCCGTTGGTGGTTTTTACAGCCTAGCCCAATATGCTAAGCTGCCCATTAATTTTGATTAAGGATTTGATGTTTTGTTTAGAAATTCCCCAAAGAATGTCTAACGATTTCTATCAGAAGTTGCCTGATTATTTGGATAGAACGGATATGCTTCCCTTTTAAAGTAGTCAATGGTGGGTCTTACAATCTAGCCTTATAAACTAAGCTTTTTTTTATTTATATTATGATAGGTTTTATGACTCCCTTAGAAGTTGCATATAGATTTTGATAGGACTTATTGCTTCCCTTTGGAAGTAGCCTGTAATTTATATTTTGGGTAGATTAGACTTTACCCGTAGGTACTTTAGCTTATAGTTGTTTGCTAGCTTGACACTAGACTTTTATTTTCAGTCATTTACTAACAGTTTGTTTACTAGTTCGACATATACTAGCCAGCAATTGTTTTACTTTGACAGTACATTGCTCTTTTTTCTTGTAACACTACCATGTTTTACTTAATTGTACTAGTGCCTTACTTTCTTGTACCAATACCCTGCTCTTTTTCTTTCAGTATTGTAGATTAGTGTAACACTTGTTCTTTTATTGCCTTAGCAATTTAATTTCAATGCTAATGAGTTTTATTTGCTTGTTTGCAAGAGCACGGACAGGAGAATTGGAGAACTTACAAAGGTGTCAGTATTTTAGAGAGTTTTGTGAGCTTTGTTTGAGAGTTTGTGAGTTGGAGAGTTTGGAGAGTTGTTGTTAACTGTAAAGTGTTTTATTTGGTGTTGAGTTATACAGTCTTAATGTAAACACTATTTGTCAACATTTTTGGCACTTGTAATTGCTTAATTAATTAATTAATCAAAAATAAATTTTCTAATCAATTGCATTAAATAATTAACTAATAATAAATTAACAAGCTCTTGAATTTTAAACTGCTCTAAAATTTGTTAATTGCTCTTGGATTTTAAATAATCTCAGATTTTTTAATGCACTTAAATTTTTTAATTAACCAATTAATAAATTTTAATTAATATCAATTAATTAATTAATTTCAATTAAACAATTAATTCCAATTAATTAATTGCAACTAATCAATTAATTTTGATTAATTAATTAATTTCAATCAAACAATTTTGTTTTAATTAATTTATTCTAATTAACAAATGAATTTTCATTAATTAATTATAATTAACTAATTAATTTCAATCAATTAATTAATTTAAATTAGATAATTTCAATTAATTGATTAATTTAAATTAACCAATATGATTTTTAATTAATTAAAGTTAATTAATCAATTAATTTTCATTAATTATTTTTATCTCAATTAATTAATTCTCATTAATTAAATTTAATCATTTTATTAATCAATTAAAATTCAATTTTAATTGCTCTCCAATTGAATAATGTCTTGAGGCAATTTCTGCAGTCTCTCGACGCCCCCTCCCCGCCGGTAGGTCGGGACAGCATTTGTCGTTGTTTCATCATGCCCGGATCAGAGGCACAGGGTCTTTGAGTTTTAAATAATTCTACCCGAATCAAAGATCAACGACATAGAGTCTTTAGATTTTAAATCATCCGTCAAAATCATAAATCGATGGCACAGGTCTTCAAAGTAGAAAACATCCACATATATCAAAGATCACGGCGCGGATCTTGAAATTGATAATACTTATTTGTTTTTTTATATTGCCAACAAGAATAATAATTACTATTATTATTTAATTATATGATAATCTCGTTTAACTACATAAATCAATGCAATTGCTAAGGATCAGTCTTAGTGATTTGGAGAAAAGATAGCTTGAAGTACTGTCTCGCTATCTTAAAGGAACAGTAGAAGAGGATCAGCTTTAATTTTAAGTATATAGGGACAGGTAATAGTTACGCACAAAAAGTAGAATCGTGCAGTTGAGTTCGGACGGACAAGCGGTTCGCACATGGGCTATGCCCTGCGTGCTGGGTGCAAATGAACGAGGAGGGTACAGGGTTGCCGGGCTGGAAACGGACGTCAAAGGCGGCTCAAAGCTTCAAGCAGATCAACGAGAGTGGGTATGGCGTGGACGGCGTTAGTCGAGCAGAGTAGACGTGGGGTCAATCCGGCATGCGGGTGCCGAGCACAGGCAACGATGTAATACACGGGTTGCTCGCGGGTCACATTCGAACATGGACAGGACAGCTGATTTTAGACGCGGGAAGTGTGGGTCATGCAAGCGAGGTTCGAAGTGGATTCAGTAGGTGGGTGAAGGGCTGAAGGATGAGCGAGGTCAATGAATAGAGCGCAAGTTTTTTTTTTCAGTTTCTTCCTTTTTTATTGCTTAGATTTGCTGAAAGGCAGTTATCGTGGTCAAGCGTTGTGTATTTTGCAGTTCAATTGCTTGAGGCAGGACCAAATCAGACTCATGAAGTGATACATCTCTTTGATTTCTATCTCATTTTTTATTTATTTTAAATTAGTCAACAGTGATAAACTAATCTGGAAGATCAAATGCATTCAAACAAGGACTATGAATAAGGCTGAAAATAATAGAAAGCATGAGCCAATCTTTCAGCCAAACTCGTACAGATAAAACTAAGTTTGAAAATCAAGACAAACTTTAGTTAGTCTACCAGTCATGTTCAGCAAGCAATTCTGATGTAAGGCTGTATTAGTTGTCAAAGCTAATTCTACTTTCTCTTACATCACAACCTTGCCATTTAGCACTTCAAATATACAATAATCTTAAAAACTTAAACATTTACTTTAACATTTTCGTATTCTTACTATTCTACATGGAATCTGCTCCAAACTTCCACCTTAATGTCTATAAGCTCCAACAATAGACCTAATCATCTATCACCCAAACCTGCAGTATTTTAAGCAAAATCTATTTTTTTCCCAACATTTACATCCATAAATTTTCTACGACTGCATATGAATTTAAAGAACTACTGAAGCATCTCATTGCTTTAATCTCATGGTGTGCTCAATCTCTGCCGCATCTTTCTTATCGCCACCCATTTGCTATTTTATCTGCCTGCAAATCCACAACAAAAGAACTTCTACACTCCTTATACAACATAATTATCAATTCAACTCAACTGATTCAAAGCAAGGATGAAGTGCAGGATAAGAGTATAACAATACCAATATAGAGATGATTCAGCAAGTTTTGGGAAGTAAGATATAGCTACGATAGGGACAGAAAACTTAGTAAATCCATGTAAACATGGGATTTTCATGCACATGCATTCCATATCCATCGCAAGGTATATACATTGTTAAACAGTTTGAAAGAAAAAGGTGCATTCCGTGCATGCAGTTCTCTCTAATATAGGGTTCGGCACAGGGTCTATATATGTAAGCAGAATTACACTTTCATTTGTAAAGAGAGCATAAATTTAAAGAATTATATTAAATAAAAGGATCCCTAAGGTTTTGAAATCTTTAAAAAACTATATAATTTAGCCAGACTAGTGTAATATGCTTCAATATCCCTGCATGTTCCAATATTGCACAAGTGAATTAAGAAAAGTTTAATACAGCTTAGATAAAGACATTATGAGAGATTAGCTTTTTATTTACAAGAAACTAGGAAGCAAGAAGCTTTGATTTGACACCATTCTTTTTAAGAACCCTATTTTATTAATATGATCATATCATTTGATAATATCCTAAAGTATTACCTTGGCTTTGTACTTTTCCTCCTGTGAAACAACAGTGAACAAGAGTTCTCTTCCAGGCCTCGTAACAACATATGTATTTACCTGTTAGAAGACCAACTCAATCATGCAAAATGAATTAAGTAGAACAAAAGCAACATGTTTCAAATGTAAAAGCCAAAAGAGAAAATAAAGAAGATGAATCTCAGAACTTCTGATAACAAGTTTAATCATGACAGTGCCCTCAAAACCTTTTAAGTTAAAATTTTCTAATTCAAGTAGATTAATGATCACAACCACCAGATCTGAGAGCAAGTTTGGCGAGATTATTCTGATAAATCAGTCAAATGGAAATTGGACTACAGAAGCCCGTTTAAGGATCTTAACCCAGACCTCCCAAAAGCAGAAGTAATCCATCACCAAGTCTAGTTGCACGGAAGGCTCCATATGGAACATACATGCGTATGATAGTATGGCATACTGCAGGACACAGTATTATGTGGATTAAATCTATTAATTGGGCTCGAAGATCAGAAATTAATCGAAATCAAAAAGGATTTTGAGCCATAAAGTTGGATTGGTCAATCTTTCTATCCAATTTTGAGTCATGCAAGATTGTATTAACATAGCTGAGATTGGATCAAAACTTGTTGCTATAATGTACAATATTTGATATATTATATGATATAATAGGTATGTGTGAGCATATGATATTTATTATGGAACAATATCAGAAATAATTATATCAGGAAAGTTTATAATTTTCTAAAATATAAATATTGATTCTCCCCTTTATTTTATGAGTATTATATACATAATGTCATTTATGCCAATAAATAGGCACCATCGTTCAATGAATAAGTTCATCAAATTCTCTCTCTATAACAAGGCGACAGAGCAATCCTAACCTTAGCCATCACCTATGATAGGTGGTCAGACCAATTTAGCCGAAATCAGTCCAATAGACGTAATTATGCAGGCAAGCGAGGTCGAGCACAAGAGAGAGAAAGATTGAGTGTGAGCGAAGCACGCAAGTGACCAGGGCAAAGCGTGAGTGAAGCAGCACGTGCGAGGGAGGCAAGGTTGGGCCAAACTAGTGAACGACGCTTGGACGAACGAACACGACTTCTCATGCGTAGAAGTGGGCTTCGAGGCTTCAATTGGACAGATAAAACTTGGACGTGATGTAGAACTAGATATGCAGGTGGCATTGAATTGTAAATTCCTCGTACTTTAATAGAGCTTAACAAATTATTAATTCACCATGAACTTAAGCAATGACTTCATCATGCAAGAGGGTAATCAAGTTTAAGCAATCAATCACAAGCTAATAGGACCAATAGATAATCAAATTAATTAATATCATGCTTGCTTGATGTTTTGGAAAAATCCCCAAAAATTTGTATGCAACATGAGAGTAGCATTAGTTGCATTTTTTTAAATGCATAAGATAAAAATGATTTATATTATGATTTAGAATAAACAAGGTAATATGTTTAAGTGGCTCTTTGATTTTAAAAAATATTACATTTACAAAATTTTAGTATTAATAAAAAAGAATTTAGCTACCATTCAACCAAATATTTTTTCCCTGACATTCTAAGCACTCGGGGCTAGATTATAACATTCACACTAACAAGAAGCTCTAAACTTATATTACAAATAAATCAAGCATTGTGATTCAATTTTGCAAACCAAATCATTTGAAGAGACTCACATGTCAACCATGCATATTAAACCCGAGTTTATCATATCATATATACCTAAATCGACAACCCTAGGCTGCTAACCTTTTAGAATTGAGATAAAGGAGGTTGAGGGTGCATTGCTCATAGCTCCTCAACTTATCAATAACAATATTAGGTACTTAACAAATTTAAGCATTTCCATAATTAAGCTTCCCGGTTTAGATAAATTTAGTGCACATTTCATTCCAAATTTGTCTAAAATGTTATAAATTGTTTTGTGGTAAGTAAAATTTTGTTTGGACTGATGACTGGCATTACTTGCTAGTTGCCGAAAGTACAGTCTCCCAACACTTTCTTTATGAAGATAAACTAACGTTCCTAGAAATTACATCGTCAATTAGACCTTTCCGCATTTCATTATTATTTCTTAGACAATGAAATACTAATCTTATAAAACTGTGATGAATAATAAACAAAGGCTTCAAAACTAATAACTTAGAATGAAATTAACTAAATAAAAGAGAGGTAAATGAATTCAAACCACCACATGATTGGTTCTAAACTTCTCTTAGGTCTACCACTTCAAAGTGAATCATTAAAAGGTAAAATGCAAAATGTTATGTAAAACAAACCTTTCTAAGGGTTTCAGAGACACCCACGGTAATCCATGTAGGCCAAACAGCAAGTGCAACCATATTTGCAATCGCAACAAATGGGGCTGCACAAATAGCAACTGTGATACCAGCAGCTGTAAGAATGCGACCCTATTAAATGACAGGGATCAGTAAAAAATATATATATGTTTCGTGAGGAATTACTCAAGTAATTTATGGAACTAAATTGGAAGAAATATGATAAATCCTACAGAACAATAACTAAGATCTCTATAAAAATTAGCATCAATGTCATATGCTGGGTAGCCTATGCATTGAACAGGTTTGACAATTTTGACTCGTGATAATTATAATAATTTACAGAATTTTAACAAGAATGAGAGAAGAATAAAATACTCAAGAAATCGTCATTTTAACTTTTTGTTAAGGCTTTGTGATACATATTTATAGCTTAATATATTTATTACAAATGACTTAATGGCAGTGCACCAAAAGCGAGCTCAGTGTCATGATAGCTTTGATAACCTACACTGAAATACACTGATCATCCGTTTCACTTCACAGCATACTTGAGATTGGGATGGTAAAGATACAATGAGGTTAAACAATTTAAATTAATCCCTGTAAGGATATAAAGATGTTGAAGAAAGTGAAAAGAAAGCATCCTTCAAAAAGGTCAAGACCTCTAACTCTTACCGTTAGAGTAAGTTGTCCGGCAAATATAAAAACAGCAATGAAGCTGTTTATTAGAGCAAACAATCTTCTTCTCGCAACAGGGCTGGTAACAGTCATGGCAATTATTGTTACTTTCTGTTAATGACAACAAAAAGAGAGTTTAGATTTGATTAAAGAAAGCATTTTCTAACAAATCACTATGTTTAAAATCAAAAGTCTACTTAATTTACTTGTTGGTAGAAAATCGAAAGGTTAAAGAACTTCCAAGTGTTGTTTTACCCTACAAATGTTTGGAAAATCTTTGAGAAAATAAATAAGAAAAACCTAGGAATTTAGTCGTAATACCTGGTCATATATATTTTTTTTTTTGTAAGAAATACATAACTTTTCACAAAAATTCCAAAGCTTAGAACTAAAAAATGGTGGACATATTGGATATGCAAATATCCATCCTCTAGATGTTTAAGTGTAATGTTTTCTCAAGAAAAAATGCTGCGTAGGCATGAATCCTGCTTTGCAGACTTAGGATTTCATTCTCCTTAAGGCAGATTGTAGTTAACCAGATTTCCCCCGATGGTAGTATCAAGGTTTAGTTAGATCTAGGTCCTTACATCCTATGAGCGCCTAGCCCTCAAGATTAATTACCCCTCTTACTACGTAAGACAAAACTATTGATTAAGAAAGAACAATTTTAAATGTTTGTCTCAGTTCTGAGAGAAATTGAGTTAAATCCAATGAAGATCTCATAGTTTCGTCATCTCGAATATACCGTAGGTTCCAATCCACCAACACTAGCAATCGTTGATCGTAGTGTCCAAAGAATCTGATTAGTAGCAATGGGTTGCCTCTTCTCAAGAATCCCACATAAGCTGAAGTGATTAGGAGTGGGTTATCATTTTATCATGCTTTGGGGTTTACATCTATTATAATACCTAGTAGTTGATTTAGTTTGGGGTTTATGACTTCTTTTAAAAGTTACCCATTTATTTGAATTGGTTCGGGGCTTATGGCTTCTGTGGGGAGTAGCCCGATTATTTTAGAAGTGGGTCTTACATCTTTCATTGAACGTTTCTCATAGGTTTAAATTTGGGTCGGGTTTTATGATTTTCATTGAAAGTTGTTTGATTATTTTAGAAGTGGGTTGTACGACTTTCATTGAAAGTAGCCAGTAGGGTTTAGAAGTAGGTCTTACGACTTTTATTAGAAGTAATCTGATTGTTTTAGAAGTGGTTCTTACAATTTTCATTAAAAGTATCCCGTAGTTTGATTTAGTTTATCACTTCTTGTAGAAGTTTTCCAAACGACGGGCCTTACAACTTCCCTTAAAAGATGCACGGCTTTTGGTAGGTCTTACGGCTTTTGTATTTAGAAGTGGCCTTAAGGTAGGTCTTACAACCTAGCCCTAACCCTATAAGTTAAGCGACCCGTGGGTTTTATTTGGATAGGTATGCAGACGCTGTTACTTATGTCCAGACAAAAGGTGGCTAGACCAAGTATTTTCCTATTTCAGTTGGATTACATCAAGGATCAGTCTTAAGCCCATATCTTTTTGTTTTAGTCAACGATGTTCTCACTAGACATTTTGCAAGAGGTTTTACCCTGGTATATGCTTTTTGCTGATGATATTATTCTTGTTGATAAAACTAGAGAGGGAGTTGAAGGTAAACTTGAATAATGAAGGTCAACCTTAGAGTCTAAAGACTTTCGTTTAAGTAGATTTAAAACTGAATATATAGAATATAATTTTAGTAATAATAGTTCTAGTGGAGGGATTATGACTTTGGGTGATCAAGATATCAAGAATAGTACATATTTTTGATATCTTGGGTATATTGTTCATAGTGATGGTGAAATAGATGGGAATATTATTAGTAGAATCCAAGTTGGATGGTTGAAGTGGAGGAATGCATCAGGCCTGTTGTGTCATAGAAAAGTCCCCCTCAAACTTAATTATATATGATGGTGGTTAGACCTGCAATGCTTTATGGTGCAGAATGTTGGCCATTAAAAGAGAAGCATAATATTAAGTTAAGTGTTGCAGAGATGAGGATGCTCAGGTGGATGAGTGACTTTACTCTTAAAGACAGGATAAGAAATAAGCATATACGTGAAAATGTTGGAGTAGCTCCAGTGGAAGAAAAAAATAGAGAGAGTCGTCTTAGATGGTTTGGCCACATAAAACGGTGGTATTTCAATGATCCGGTTAGGAAAGTAGATGTATTCGATTTGACTTATGGTAAGAAGGGTAGAGGTAGACCTAAAAATACTTGGTTAGAAAATATTAGAAATGACCTTCTTTATTAGGTTTAAATGAGAATTTAACTTTTAACAGTGCACAATGAAGAAAAAAGATTCATGTAGCCGACCCCACATAGTGGGATAAAGCCTTGATGTTATTGTTGTTGTAGAAAAAGCATATGATAAAGTTCCAAGAGAAGTGTTATGGAGAGTTCTACATATGAAAGGGGCTAATAATGTTTATATTCAAGTCATTAAAGATATGTATAAAGGAGTTATTATTTGTGGTCAAACACAAGGTAGTTTGACCAAATATTTTTCTATTTCAGTTGGATTATATCAAGGATCAGTCTTAAGCCCATATCTTTTTGCTTTAGTCATGAATGTTCTCACTAGACATTTGCAACAGGTTATATCTTGGTATATGCTTTTTGCTGATGATATTCTTCTTGTTGATAAGACTAGAGAGGGAGTTGAACGTAAACTTAAATTATTGAGGTTAACATTATAGTCTAAAGGCTTTCATTTGAGTAGATTTAAAACTGAAAATATTGAGTGTAATTTTAGTAATAATAGTTCTAGTGGGGGGATTGTGACTTTGAACGATCAAGTCATTAATAAGAGCATAGGTTTTAGATATATTGGGTCTATTGTTCAGAGTGATGGTGAAATAGATGGGGATATTATTAGTAGAATTCACGTTGGATGGTTGAAGTGGAGGAATGCATCGGGCTTGTTGTGTGATAGAAAAGTCCCTCTCAAACTTAAGAAAAAATTCTATAAGATGATTGTGAGACCTACAATGCTTTATGGTGCAGAATGTTGGCCATTAAAAGAGAAGCATAATATTAAGTTAAGTGTTGCAGAGATGAAGATGCTCAGGTGGATGATAGGCTTTACTCTTATAGTAGCTCCAGTGGAAGATAAGATTAGAGAGAGTCATCTTAGATGGTTTTGTCACATAAAACAGCAACCTTCCAATGACCCGGTTAGGAAAGTAAATGTATTATATTTGCCTTATTTTAAGAAAGGTAAAGGTAGACCTAAAAAGGCTTGGTTAGAAAATATTAAAAATGACCTTTCTTTATTAGATTTAAATGAGAATTTGACTCTTAATATGATACAATGGAGAAAAAAGATTCATGTAGCTGACCCCACGTCGTGGAATAAAGGTTTGTTGTTGTTGAACCTGTTCCAGAGCTTACTTTGGAGGATTTAAAAACCGCAATTTACACAGAGGATATTACTCCAACTACTGAAGAAATGAATATTAGTTATACTAGAGAAGCTCAAAGTATGTTATCCATTAAATTATTATATTTTTTGAATAAAAGTATCACAAAGATATAAAATTTTATAACTTTACTTTATAGATAACGATATCTTAGAAAATATGGGAGGTGACAATGACATAATTTGAAGGCATAAAGTCGAAGCAATTGGTGCGGATGATTTTGACGGAGGATGATTTGGGAGCTCAACATTTGATAATACAAATCTAGGAGACAACTTTTAGATTTACTTAGATTTTTTTTATTTTATTTATGTTTGAAGTTTGAAGTTTGAATTGCTAAGAACAGTTAATTGAGAACTACTGTTTGTTTTGTCTTTATTTCATGAATATGTGTTTCTAATTTTTTTAGTGCAATTCAATTGTCTGTTATTTTGATTCCTTTTCAGAAGTGATTGTGTTGAACCAGTCCATGATGCTCATCATGATTTACTTTGCTATAAGTCTTAGTGCGATATTCTTTTAAAAAAAGTTTATAGTATAAATTCAGTTTGATTATAAGATTCACTATATGTTACTTGTACTACATACCATTTAATTAATATTCAATTTATTTTGTTCATTTCATTGTTAACAGTTTTACATGCTATAGAAAGATAACTGAAAATGAGATGCATTGCTCAAGGTACAACGTACAATAAAAGGCTCAACAATAGATATTTATTCTCCTCCAATGCAATTTCATTTGGTCATCCTGTGAGGGAAATAGGAGCCGCGGGATAGCCAGACCACCTCGTGTGGGAACCTGGAGCTTCAAAGTGTGACATTCGGTGGTGTTGTTGCTGTTATAGTTACTCTTCATTTATTAGGTTAGTTATAAATCCTGCTAAAGTTATTTGTGAAATATTTATTTATGTTTTATAGACTTAATTGATGTCACATTTGTGTTGTGTTATTTGTTTATGTTTTATAGACTTAATTGATGTCCACCTAATATGAAACTATACTATTATTCAAGCAAATCAATCTTATAGGTTGATTTGGAGGTCAATACAATTTTATTGTGTTGCAATACTAGTCTATTTTGAGTTGTCACATATGTTTAATAAATGTCAAAATAATGATGGTCAATCATTTCAAAATATTTGATACAAAATTGTTTCTTAAATTCAAGCAAATTATAAGAAATGCAAAGGAATTATTTTGAAAACATTTAGGTGCTTTGATTAGTTTGATATGCAAATAGAATTTACAATGAAGGTAATAAATTTCAATGAAATCCATAAGAGTTGTAGTATGTTAAATGGTTACGGAGGCAAAGCTAATTTTATTAATTTTAATATTATTATTATTATTATTTATTATATCATCTAGTTCGACCCCAGTTCGACCGGTTGAACCATGAGCCCCTCCTTCCAGTTCCTTGTCTGGGCGGGTGTGGGAGGTTAAAGGAAGATATAAGTAGAAGTGGAGTTATAAGCAGCCATCATGACAAATGCAATATATTCATGCATTGGAATATTTTGATAAATTAAGTACAAATAATAATTTGTTATGGTCCTGATAAGTTCTAAATCTCTGTAAGAATTCTGATGAAATAAGAAAGTTAAGTGCAAGTGAAACTCTGATAGCAAGTATTCCACCTCTGAAAGTTCTGAGAAAATAAACTATTATACTCTGGAGAGTGTTAAGCCTAAGAAACCATACATGTCTTACTAGCGCTTTATTTATTCTTTGCTAATTATTTAGTATTTTATTAAATTTTCATTTAATATTTTAATCGGATGTTGATTTTGTGATGGAGAAAGCAAAGAAGCTACTAAGCTGGTTGAGCTCACTTTATGAGTTTTTTGACATTTCAGGAAAAGGAAAGGGTCGAGCGAAGTAGGAAAGGAGGTAAACTCAAGATCCTCTGAATCAAGATAGCCAAGGTATCATTTTGTAAACCAGTTTTAATTATTTTGATATATAGAACAAATGTGAACTGGATTATTGCATATGCATTTTGACAAAATGAAATAAAATGTTATTAAATTGCTTTTATTATTTGAATTCCAAAGTAGCCCTCGTTGATTATGCTTGTGGTTGAATTAAATCGTAAGATCGGGTTTCTTCTATTAGATCATAGGGCATCACACGAGGGTTCTGCGATGTGCAGCTATGAATTTGAGGTCATATAGATCCTCTTAAGTTTGATGTGATTAAGGTCGTGTAGCTAAGACAACTTTGTTTGAATATTGATGTTATTTTCCCTCTCTTGCTATGATTCTTGTTTCTTTTCTCTTTTTCTATTTTTCAGTTATGGTGTTGCTTGGAGCTATAACATCATTTATTTTATCAAGATTAATGGAACTATAAGTTAGTCCGCTCCACGCCAACGCTTCATAACCTTTCATGTTCTTTAGGGAATTAAGGCTTATTGGAGATGCACCTGAGCAATCCCTGGCACATGGCAATTGCTTATGAATAACAAATTCTAAAGCAAGCGAGCTTTGGAGATTATTTGAAACCATACATGTCAAACGAAAAATATATCTCTATAAGGAAAAAAAAAAAAAGATATAAGAAATGATCAATGAATTAGAAGATGCTTGGTGAAGTGAAGCGCAACACTTATTGAGTATATTTACCAGACATAGGCCTGATACTATAAAACCCTGAAGAAAGTCAGCTTTTGATCCTGCTGAAACTATGGAAAGTTGTGTTCTCACACTCTCCATGTAAATCATATATGATTTCTTGCCATTGTAAAATATTTCTCTATCCTAAAGCTTGTAAACAATAGAGCTTGAAGCAATTTGTTTTGAGATCAACAATATTTTCTAATGATAAAATTCTAAGGCTGACTAGAATGTTAGAGCTCCATTCACAAACTTACAGCAAGAGGATTTTAAAAAAGGTTGAACGTAGACTGCAAACAAATTGGATGCAACATACCTGTCAAAGAACAAATAACGAGGTAATTAGTACCGTCTGAGCAGAATCTTCTTAGAAAAGGAGAATGAAAAAAAAAATAATAATAAACAAGATGGTACAAGAAGAAGAAAAGGAACAAATCCAAGTGTGAATATTGCATAAGGTTGATGACAGAATAGGGAAGAATGTAAAATGAGCAAAAAATGATTGTCATGGTAATGGAAAAAAAAATTCCAATAAAAATGTGGTATCAACAACTGATGTTTTGCAGCATAATAGGAGCGCAAATGAGCCAATGTTGGCTAGACTCAAACCAATTTAATTTCAAACTTTCTCAACTCAAACCTATTTTAAAAAAAAATACAAACCACTTCAATTTCTAACAAATTCAAGATCAAAGTTTTTTTTAATATTCATAATTTATTTTAATACCACTATGTAAAATAATCCATTAAAGTAAATATGCATATCTGCATCATCTATAAATCTAATTATATAAAATATTTTTTTATACCTCAAACTCATCCTGAGTTAATTGGATACATCTATATCGCAAATTAAATTAAATAAAGCTTAAAAAAAATTTCGGGCCACTTCAATTCCGAACAGGCTCAAAGTCAAGGTATATTCATAGTTCATTTTATATACAAATATACATTCATCACAGTAAATATGGGTATGTATTACATCTATAAATCAATTATATATAATATATTTTATACCTCAAGCTTGTCTTGACTCTTGAATTAGTTGGATCCAAGTCAGGCTCACAAACATCAGATGGAGCCTGAAATGTGGCTATTGGATGACCTCTTTCAGCTTGATTCAAGCCAAAATTTGCTAGATCTTCAAGCTAAACTCTTAGCCCTATGGGAGAAAGATAGACTTAAAGAAGGGATGATAACCTAACCGATGAAAGATATAATATGACCATGCATGCAATCCTCCCTTAACCATATGTAAAGCTATAATTATTTCCAACAGTATAAAATTTTACCAACTTAAAGGTCAGCAACATTATAAAATATCAACGAATTCTTGTGAAAAACACCAAAGTAGTTTAAAAGGAAGATAAAATTAAAAGTGTCATATGGACTAAGTTATTTTAATCACAGGACGTTCAAGCTGTGCTTCATGTTCAAAACATAACCTAAATTTCATAATAGACTAAGTTGTTGTCATCGTACATAGAGCGCAAGTATGACAACCAATATCTTCAAAACTACAGCTCACGTAAACATATATAAAGATTAAGTAATGCTGGTAATAATTAAATCGTACAAAGGTACCATTAAATACCTGAAAATAGAAGAATGAGGAAACAACTGCACTCAGCCAAAGAAATAAAGACACGCATATGAGATAAGTTGATGAAACTATCATCCATAGCCCTTCTAGCACAACAAAAAATTGATATTTTGCTATGAAAGCAGGTGATTTGGGAGAAGATTGTATAAGAGTAGATTTTTCATCATCAGCTTCAAAATGCTTATCTTCCCTGCAAGAAAGTGAGAAATAAAGAAAGAATAAGTTACACAAAGGAAGGTTGAAAAAGAACTTAAAAAGTAACCAGATAACTTTTGGGATTTATCAAATATAGGCATGCATAAATGCAAGCACATACGTGCAACCACATATAAGATGTGTAAACATATAAGAGTCTACACATGCACACAAGCACACAAGCCCCCGCATTCAGGTGCAACCACACATAAAAGTGTACGCATGCACAAATGCACCCACATTCACACCACACGCACACATACATGCATGTGCACAGCCCCACACAAATGAACTCAAAGAGGAAAAACAACTAGAACATAGAACACACCGTACACCTCAAAAACATGAAAACAATAATCATAATCACTTGAAATTACAGACCCAAATAATGATGTGACTGAATGCAAATTATTTTCTAAATAAAATTAACAATTTATAAAAATAAGAATTTAGAAAGTTACTTTGTTGATTATCACTAGCATTTATTGAAAATTACTTGCAGGCATTATTTTTCATATGCAAGAGCACTGTTCAACTGTAGTTAAGAACAACCTCATAACTTTTGGTTTCTTAATTGGAAACATAAGAATTTTAAATGAAATTATAATACATTACCAAATTAATTGATCCCAACTAGATAAGTACTTCTAATACTACTAATTTTCATATGCAAGAGCACTGTTCAACTGTAGTTAAGAACAACCTCATAACTTTTGGTTTCTTAATTGGCAACATAAGAATTTTAAATGAAATTATAATACATTACCAAATTAATTGATCCCAACTAGATAAGTACTTCTTATAATACTACTAATAATAATAACAATAATAACAAAAAAAGCAACAACAACAATCACAATAAAAATAAAAATAACATTAATAATGGTATAATAACCTACAAAAAACTAACTTATCCCACGACAAATCAATGTAGTGCGTAGCAGACCATAATGTTCCATACCTTGTACAAGATAATTCTCCTGGAACACGGTTTCGATCAAGAATGATCCCTTTAGATGATTGTGCCGCGAGCTCCATCAATAGAGCAGAAACTAGGAGCAAAACTGAATGAAGAGAAACTTATGACATCAACATAATACAAGAAGAAAAAAAGATGAAAATCAATTTTATAAGTGTAATTACAACATAAGCTCGTTTTATTTGTAAGATGGTACGCACATGGTCCTAGCCAAGCCATGCTTGCAGCAAATAATGAACCACATAACTGTCCAAGTGTAGCACCAGCACCAACAAAGCCAAACAATCTTGAACCTGACTGAATGAGAAAAGGAATTAAGTCCCATGAAAATGAAAATTTGCATCTTTAACAAAAAAAAACAACCTGCAAGTCTACCTCATTGTCCATGATATCAATCACCCGTGCCCATGTTGATGATATTGTAATAAGATTAAGCAAGGAAACCTTAAGGAAACACCAAAAGCCCTTCATTGTAAGTTTGTATAATTATGGGCAATATCAAATGTTGAAATGAATTCTATAGCAATCATACCCAAAGGAATAATCCAATACGGACACTTATATAAAACCAACCATGATTACCCCACCCATCATGAATTGTATGACCCTCTGGGGTTCCAGAACTGCCTATATCCTCAGGTGATGAAGAATGAGAAACTAAAGACTATATGTAAAATCATATTAGAATGTTCAATTAAACCTCAATCACCATTACAAAGTTTCTGAGTGGTGTATTTAAGGCATCTGCTTCAATAAATTTACCTTGGATGTTGATACTGTTGGTCCATCAGAAGATGCATACCACAGGTAAAGGAAAAAAATAAGGGATAAACTGAAAAATCTGTGTATATAGACCAATGCCTGAAGTCCAACAAAGAAATATTATTAGGGATAGGTATTATGGAAAACAAATTTTGCAATAACAACAAGAACAATTCCTTTCGCTGCAACTAAAGATTATTATTTGATGATGAAATGCACAAAGAAGTACAAAAAAAACATTATTTCAAAATGAAACACTTGAATAAATATGAAATGACATTTTTGATAGCATGTCCATTGCATTTTAAGCATTTTTACTCCTTTACCTGCGAACTAGGTGAACTAAGAAAATTTTCTCATGACATCTAAAATAGATAAAAGATAAGGCAATAAGGAACAAATTGAGCTGTTTTTTTGATAATACAGATCCTACTTCTAAATTTAAGGAGAATAAGAGTGCTAGTACATCCTTCTTTCTCATATTTGCATTTAAAACTTAAATTCATATTTCCTATACCCCAAGTCCATATATCAATTTCACTTCATGAACTTCTTTTAAGTCATGTGCACCATCAATGAACAAAATGCAACTTCAAAAAACATGAATGAAATACTTTATTTGCAGAGGAAAAATATTCAAATTATATGTATTATTCACCATTCATGCTAAAAATGTGTCAATACTTAGTCGAGCCAAGTTAAACATGTTCCACTTGTTTCAAACACGTGCTATTATTTCTTGTCCTAACACAACATGTATGCATCCCATGTTTGCAAAGATTTACATGAAAATTAGACCTGCTTTATGCAATAAATATATCCCCTTATAATGTGTTCACTTTTGAATTCAAAAACTTCTTTTTTTTTTTTCTAAATCTCAAATAACCATCAACACTATCTTTATCCAAACAAATTGTTGTTAATTTTATTAATCTTCATCATTCGTTCATACTACGTGTTGCAAGAGACATTAAATCAATTCTTCGTAAACATTTTTAACAGTTTATAGTCATTATCTTAGGTCTACCCTTTTTCCTTTCTAGCCGACCATAATTTAATTTATTCATCTATGCATTTTCCCTTCATAATGCATAACCAAACAAACTAAGTATATTTTTAATTATCTAAGCTTTAATAAATGCATCTTTAACCATCCCTCTAAATAATCATTCCAATATTTATCATTTTCACCCACAACATCCATCTTAGTATTATCATTTTTGTCACTCTCAACTTTGTTATCAACGCTTCTTTAGAGCCCAACACTCAGATCTATGCACAATAGATGGCCTAATTGTAGTTTAAATAAAATTATTTTTTAAGTTCCATAATATCATCTTATCGCATAATACTCATGAGGCACTCCCATTTTAACCACTCTGCCTCAATTCTAAATGCTATTTTTTATTTGTATCCATATTCTTATTATAACAAATCCAATATAATTAAACATATATCATACCTAAATATCAAATTATTTGCTAACAATATAGATTGACAAGCACCAAGCCATGGCAAACTTCAGGCCTCACCAACAATAGTAAAACAAAGTAATACATTGAAAAGCACTTCATCTTCCAAATTTCAGAGCAATGCTGTGGATTCCACAAAAATTGTGTTCCAAGTTTAAATATTTCCGCAATTTAGCACATGCCATGCATCAAGACACCAAAAATTCTTCTTTTCTCATGCAAAAATACATATTGATCAGCATTCATTGCCATGATTATCACACCCCAGAGAATCCAGCGGTACCTTACCTTGGCTTTGGAGATATGCGGTAGCGAGAATATTAGCGTTGCGACAGGGGCGGCAACGAGCGTCAGAATCAGAGACCCCATGAAGAGTCCTGGGAGGTGGTCTAGGCCCAAAGATATAGCTCCCTCGTCCCGCAGTGGAAGAATCACAAAATAGGCGCTCAGGAGCTGCATATAAACCCAGCACACAGAAAATCACAATTAAAAAAGGCAAATTGGGGAGAACAAACAACCTAGAAATATAAACCTTTGAAAAACAAAAAAAAAAAAACAAACAAACCAAAAAAAAGAGGAACTAACGAAGAAGAAGCAGGAAGAGGAGTGAATCAAAGCAGGAATCTCGTGGGGATGGACAGAAACAATCGTGGAGACGATCGACTCCAAGCGACATCGTGACGCCATCGTTTTCCTCGCCGGCGGAAGCTACGAGAGAGGAGGGTGAGTGGTATCAGCGAGAAGAAGCGGAGGGAGGAGGGGCATTTTCATCAGAAGATACCATCGGCCTCGGCGCTACTATCCGCAGCACGACGCTTGCTTGAAGAGGACGCACGGATAGAGTCAGCGGTTCGTCATTTTCATGTTTCCCATGGGAAATGCATTCGGTTGCAATACAAAATACTGAAAATAGTGTAAAAGATTTTAAAAGTAGGGATTTTGAAAATTTAATTGTTTAGGAAAAGAAATCTAAAGTAAAAAATAAATATTGTGTAAATTATTTTAATTTATTTTTAAAGTAAATTAAATTCACTCCATTTTGATTAAAATAAATTTAAAACTCTTTTTTTTATTTATATTATGATTAAACCGCCATAAAAATAACATAAAAATCAATAAATCTCGCAAGAGACGGTGGAAGGCAAACTGTCAAGAGCTCTTAAAGAAAAAATAAAGGGCAATCGACGACGTAGCAAAAGCCTACAGGAGAAAGCGGGATCAAACATAGACAAGGGCTCTTCTAGTGACCGGAAGGAAGAAGCGAAGGGATGAAAAAACAAACAAAATGGTTAAATAGCGAATATGAGCTTAGGGTAGGGCTATACGGTTCAAGAGGTTTCGTTTCCACTGTAAGATTTGCGATCAACAATGTCAAATCAACATCCTTTGAACTGGATTGGTTTTTTTAAATTCGGTCGGTTCACCGGTTATATAGTCAAACTGATCACATCAAGCCATATATACTAATATAAATATTGGTAGAAATTTCAAATGGCTTCATGGAGCTTTAGTAGAGAAAATTTCATGACATTTATCAAATAATCCTAACATCTAAAGCAACCAAGTGAAATACTTAACAAAATAAACTTATGGTTACTTATAAAGCCTACAATGAAATGCATTAGAGATTATATTTATATAATTAATTGATTATCTATAAGTGAGATCTCACATATCATCTATTGTATTGCAGTCAACTGACTCAATTAAATCATAATTATCAATTATTTTACACTAAATCTCAAATTTAATAAATGCACTCATAGATTGTATTTTACCTAAATATGGAGTATCACGAACTCCTCTTCTTTATATGTTGTCAGTCTCGTTGATGCCTTCTCCTATGAGTTCCCAAGATCATTTTAGTATCATGTTTATGCCTTATTAAGCGAGCTCCTATTGTGACTTCTCGATCCCATTAATATCTTCTACAGTAATGAGCTCCTATCATGAATTTCTTACTACCATCAATGCCTTCTCCAATGATCTTACATTATAACTTCCTCGCCACCGTCCATACGTACTCTAGCTCGCTCCTATTACAGCTTCTTCTCTTCTTTGTTGTTAAGGATTTTAAAATTTTGTGGCACAAAACTTAAGCTAACTAGTTGAGCTCGAGCCTTCTATAGATCCAACTAGCCAACCTTGAGTTAAATATATGAGCTTCACTCGAGCTTAAGCTCAAGTTTGAGCCTTTCATAAATGGGTGAGCCAAGCTCAACTTAGTTGTAAATCGAGTCCAACTCTACTCGTTAGCAATTTTAGTCTGAACAGATCAGATTAATTTTGGTATTGACTATTTTGGCAAGTGCATGGAATGCCATATATAGTATTTTCTAGGATTTTTAATATATTTAATAAATCGTTAAATTTAATTAAAACGATTATGTATTACATACAAAAATAAATAAATATATTAAAATATGAAGTAATTTGTTAAGTATAATAATATTAATCATAAGTAAGACAGTAATAAACTTAATGAAATATATACAATATAAAAATCAATTAAATTTATTAAAATAGAAATGACATAACTAAAAAATATTAATCAAATAATCATTTTTAATTAAGAAAAAAAAACATAAATATATATACAATTAACATAATTAGGTAAAATCAGCAAATTTAATAAACAAAAGAAATTTTCAAATCTCATTAATTTATTAAAAATGATCAAATTCCTAATGATGGGCAAATTAATCATATGATCATTAAAAATATAATCAAAGAAGTAATTCAAAATATATAAATAAATAGGAAGTAAAGCATCAATTGATGTAAATAATTTTTTGAGTGGCCAATTATTATCTTTAATTATAGTAGGATTACATCATTAATCAACATTGTTTTTTTTTTTTCAATTGGCAATAAAGATGAAATAAAAAATATTCAAAGTAAACTATCTTAATGTAGATCTCTACAAAAAAATAGTTTTAATTTGCTAGACATTTGTTAAAATTTTTTAGATAATATTTAAAAGATAATTAGCTTATAATTAAGAAGATCATTTACTAGCACTATCTACTTTCTTCGTCATTTATTGCAATTATGAAGCTAAAAAAGCAACAATAAAATATTTTGTGATGTTTATGCATTACTAGGAAGACATTATTATAACATGCTAAAATTTGAAGTCTTCAAATAAAAAATGTTAAACATGTTTGTAACATTAATAGAAGTGTGAAAATACTTATGAGATTAAAGAATATCATAGCGTACAAAACTTTTTAAAATTATTTTGTAAACTAAAAAGATGTCAAGCTAAGCTCGAGGTCGAGCACGTGATCAGGCCAATGAGCCGAGCTCAAGTTAAGCATTAGTTGAGCTCGACTTGACACTTTTGCACCCCTAAACATAACTAAGAATCTCATAAAATAATATGTTTAGGGGTGACAGGAATAACCCTTATTAGTACTTTTCAATATTAAAAAAAAAAAAATTCTAGTTAAAAAAACCAAAAAGAAAATTTATGATACACACCTGAAATTCTCATTTAGATATGGACGTGACTTGGCTGAATCAATTTACATTGTTCAACAAGATTATCCAAAAGCTATATGATGTTTATACATAAAAGTAAGCTAGTTATTTATTTTTTCATAAACTTTAACCAAATTAAAACATCAATGAAGATTAAGAATTATCAAGTAACAATCCATCAACCATACCTTAATAAAATAACCTATTGTGAATAATTTCACCAAGCAAGATGTGGATGTCATTGTGAATGCGATATAAATAACTCTGAAACTTTACAATGACAAGAGAAAAGCACATTAAAACATAACCAAATAAGATGTACAATCATACATGTATGAACTTTTTCTAAGGCCTTATTCATCTTTTAATGAAAACATGTGTTGAAAAAAATAATGTAAAAATAACAAAGTCTTTCCATCACATTATGGAGTATCATCAATATGTAAAATAATAATAATAATAAAAGAATTTTACCATCAATGAAAGATAGAACAACATTATTATTATAAATTTTTAGACGACAGAGAGCAAGACATAAGAGAGGGTATTAAAGCAAAATTTTTTATCGAGCAACCTAAGGACAAAAATTGTTGATTAATATCATAACACTTATCAATGAAAACAAGCATAAAGGGAGATCCGAGTCAAAGTTTACGAACATGAGCTCTTCGATATCATTTTAATAGGAAGAGAATCACTAACAAATGAATTCTCTCATGCAAGATTAAGGCTTCGTTTGGGACGGCTTTTTTACTGCTTTCTCAAACGGAGTTTTAGTACAAAATTTTTTATTTTTGTACTAAAACTTCGTTTTAGAAAGCAATAAAAAAGCCGTCCCAAACGAAGCCTAAGTTTTTTCAATAATAAAAGATGAAAGTATGCAGAGGATTATTTAGTAAAGAGAGTGATTTCTCTGTCTACAGTAAAGCGCAGGTATGCAGAGATAGCTCTGAACGGATCTCTCTGTCAGGTGACCGGATGCAATAATTTGCCTATGAAAAGAGAGTGATTTCTTTTTAAAATGTAAAGATGATTAATTTACACTATATATGTAATAGGATTATAAATAAGTTATACATACTTTTTGAACATAACTATTTAGGTCTAGACTCTTTTCAAGAAAATGTAGTGTGATCAAGCTAAGAAGGAAACAAACATAAAAAAGAAGGATGCCTACTTCGATTTAATAGATTCGTTATGGTAGAGAAGAAAAGGCAGCATATAGACTAGGTGTGTAAAAAAAAAAAAAAAAAAAGGGTTGTTGGTCAGGTTTGGGTAGAATCCAATATGACTCGCTATTGTTTGACACAACCTGAATCCAACCCGTTTTTGCAAGCAAGTCATAAATCTCAACCTGGACCTGACTTGCCAAAAACCCAATTCAACCCGACCCAACACGGCTGACACGGATGCAAGCGCGAGTAAGGAAGGCGAGCACGAGCATGATGGAGGTAGGGCCGAGTGCGAGTGTTGGTCAGAGTCGTGGGGTGGGATTATTGTTCAATGCAGGATGGGAATCGGGTCAGTTCGGGCTGAGTTCTAGTTTCCGAGTCAACCCGACCCAATTTTTGAAACAGATGGGTTCGTTGAATTTGAACCCGACCCATATGACAAACGGGTTGACCCTAACCCGAAATTTTCAGGTTTGATTCTGATTAAATTTTAGGATCATGTCATATTGACACCCCTAATATAGATCATAATAAAGCTTTGCATCTAAAAAAATAATGGCTAAAAGTGATAAGCTTGGATTTATAATTGAAGCTGAAGAAAGTGTCAAATCCATTATGTCATATGGAGCATCTCAAAGGAAGACATATGGAGCATCTCAAAGGAAGACGAGCAATATCTACAAAGAGAGAATATTAAATTTGTCCATAAATTCCTTTTAAAAAAGCCTTCCTGATTATGACAGATGCTAGGGAAATTATTTAATTTGTACATATCTTACTTAGCATAAATAGGACATAAATAAAAATTTAGACGTCGACAGCAGGGTTCGAACCTGCGCGGGCGAAGCCCAACAGATTTCAAGTCTGTCTCCTTAACCACTCGGACATATCGACGAGTTTGTAGAAATAAATTTGACAATAAATATATAATAAATATTTTCTGCTGTAAACTTAACCCCTGCCCATTGAATTAGATTCTAGCAAATAAACTCTTACAGTAACACTTCAAAGAAAAATACAATTGCGACATATGACGAACAAAACAGTAAAAAAAGAAAAAAAAAACTACCACTAAATGTTACCTAAGACAGAAAATTGCTTGCCAAAATAATCAATGAGTGGCAGTAGGCTTAGATTTTGAAGTATTTAAATCAAATTTTATGATTAGAAAGATTACAATATTTATAACTAGCAACTTATTGACTTTATAGCTTATTACGATCATTCGGAGAAAATAAATAAATAACATGTTTATGTGGTCATTATCATCACACTGAGCCTAATCAACACTCAAGCATAAAGAAAGCAATTAAACACAGATATGCCACAAAAAAATTCACTTTGTTTGGAAACTAATCTCAATGTAAATATTAGATTGAGATTTCAAAAATTAAAATCGAGATCATTTGATCTTCAATTTCAACAATCTTATAGTCAAATTGAACATCTCAAGGAGATGAAACCAACAACATCAAATTTGACCCAATCCGAACCAAAATGAGTCCAAATCAAAAGTCTAAAGTCTATTTCGAAGATTCAGAAGATTCAGATCATTAATTAGATTACCAATTGAAATCTGAATATGTCATGCTTATAGTTTAATCGAGCATCTCAACGAGATGAATCCAAAGCAACTCAACGAGATGAGTCCAACGAGCCCAATATCACTCAATTCTGACATCTCTAGGGCATCTAAATGCTTGATAAACACTTCATGATCAAAGAGATCACTATGAGCTGTCTGATAGAACACTCCCAACATGTCTTTGATCTTCTTCCTATTTATTAGTCATTTCACTCCCAAAAAATTATAAATAGACTCTCATTCTTCACATGAGGAGCTCCCTTACCATGGACCACCATCGGATCTCTTCCTGACCACCGACCGCCATTGGACTTCTGCCTGTTCGTTAGCTGCTCCTGGATCTCTTCGCAGCCACCGACCATCACTAGACGTCCATCTATTCTTTGACTATTGCTAGAACTCTTCTTGGATGCTATTGATGTTGGATCTTCTCCCAAATACCGTCGCCTGCCAACTACGATCTATACGACCATCATTGCCTGACCATGGTTTCTCTGACCACCGTTGCCCAACTACGATCTTTCCGACCACCACTGTCCGACTATGGCCTTTCCGACATCCGCCGCTCATCATTACATTCTTGCCGACCACCATCGCTTGACTATGGCCTCTCTGATTTATGCTCAGTCACCCGCTGATGAGAGTTTCTCCGACCACCATCTCTAGCTACAATCTCTTTGACCTCTATCGCCCGACTACTATCCTTCCAACCACCGTCGTCCAATTACGATCCTTCCGACCTGCATCGCTCGCCAACTATGATCCTACCCACCAAATGAATATGTCAATACTAATTCTTCCAACTCCTACCATGTAATGCCCTTTATATAATGTATATTGGTTACATCAAGCCAAGGCTTTACCCCCAAGGAAGAGCCTCATTTGCAATCATCTGAAAACACTAGTGAATTTATTCAAATTGGGTAAAGCCACGTGATTTTTCTCCTTTTTCAGAAGTTTCCACATAAAAACTCTAGTGTCTCTTATGAGCGCTACACCCCTACTGATTTATCTATTTATATGCTAGATATCGTACGAAGCTAATATGCTAAACTTTATATTTCTCTATCACTGTGAATATTTCAGGACACAACAAATACCAATAACTATCCAATATAAATCAACTTCAAATAAGAATCAAACACCACCATAATCATGAACTAAAAAGAAGGAGCAAATTAAATATAACCCAAATCAATTGGACAATAAAATAAAATGTCAACCCATAAAAATTCTCCAATAAAAAAAAATAAATTCTTAGAAAGCTATAAGCAAACATATGTCCAAAATTTAAACTACTTAATAGAAAAAACCAATTCTACATAACATTTCTTCAAGATGAAAACTCCAATTCATTTAGTTCACTTAGCCAACCCTATTTCCATCTTCGCTTGATAACTTTTAATGAGCCATTTGCTATTTAATCTTATTTGGGGGATTCATTTTATATTTAAGATGTCACATTGAGGCTTTTGGGCAGCTTTTTTGCTGCTTCTTAAAACATTTTTCTAGTAAAATAAAAAAAAATTTTGTACTAAAAAGCTGCCGTCCGAAATGAAGCCTTAGGCTTCATTTGGGACGGCTTTCTTGATGCTTCTTAAAATAGCTTTCTAGTTCAATGATTAAAATTTTTGTATTAAAAAAATGATTTAAGAAGCAACAAAAAAATTGTCCCAAACGAAGCCTTAGTTATGCTAAAAATACATTGATTTAACAAGTATAATGAATATTGGCTTTTTTAACGAAGAGAAATGCTCTTTATACAGAGCAAGTTCTACAAAATATCACATCTATTATATCAGATAATCTGTCATTAAAAAAATTGATGCTAACCTATCATTGTTTCACATATCATATTAGTTTAAAATGGGTTGCAAAAAATGCACTTCTTTGAATAACCCTATGACAAAATTTAAGTTTTTTATTTTTTTTTTTATTTTTTTAGTTTTAAATAACTAATAATAGATAGGTATGGAAAAGTAAATAAATAAACAAAATCTGAAGCAAAATATTTAAAGATAGACATGCATACATACTGACCCCATTCAATGTACCAAGGAGGAATACAGCTTTCACAAATAAAAAAATTGTTGTTGGCATAAAACTTAGGTTATGTAGGAGACGGCAACAATATTTTATAAAAATGATTATTAAATTATTATGAAAAAAAAATATCTTTTTTAAAAGTTGTTTCAACAAATATATATAATTTGAATAAGAATTTTCTTAAAGCTATCACACGTTAACAACTGTAATTATAAAAAAACAAATTTTCACCAAACTTTTTTGAGAAAAAAACAAAAATCAACAAAAAATAGTAGTTAGACGATACAGTAATAATAATTTTAAAAACAAATCAACAAGAAAACTGTTGCAAACATACTCTTAGGCACAACTTTTTTATTAATTCTTAAAATAACATTCTAATTTTTTTTAATTTGAAAATTACTTTATGACGCAGTGAGAAACAACAAAAAAATTGTCCCAAACGAAGCCTTATTATGCTAAAAATACATTGATTTAACAAGTATAATGAATATTGGCTTTTTTAACGAAGAGAAATGCTCTTTATACAAAGAAAGTTCTACAAAATATCACATCTATTATATCAGATAATCTATCATTAAAAAATTTGATGCTAACCTATCATTGTTTCACATATCATATTAGTTTAAAATGGGTTGAAAAAAATGCACTTCTTTGAATAACCCTACTGACAAAATTTAATTTTTTTTATTTTTAGTTTTAAATAAATAATAATATATAGGTATGAAAAAGTAAATAAATAAACAAAATCTAAAGCAAAATATTTAAAGATAGACATGCATACATACTGACCCCATTCAATGTATACAGCTTTCACAAATAAAAAAATTGTTGTTGGCATAAAACTTAGGTTATGTAGGAGACGGCAACAATATTTTATAAAAATGATTATGAAAAAAAAATATCTTTTTTTTAAAAGTTGTTACAAAAAAAAAAAATCATTTTCTTAAAGCTATCACACGTTAACAATTGTAATTTATAAAAAAACAAATTTTCACCAAACTTTTTTAGAAAATAACAAAAATCAACAAAAAATAGTAGTCAAACGATACAGTAATTATAATTTTAAAAACAAATCAACGAGAAAACTGTTGCAAACATATTCTTAGGCATAACTTTCTTATTGCTTCTTAAAATAGTTTTATAATTTTTTTTAATTAGAAAATTACTTTAAGAAACATTGAGAAAGTCATCTCAAATAAAATCTTAAACTCGTAAGAAGAAGTTATCATGAAAAGACAACAGGTTTAAAATTATGCAAACAGGACAGCAGTTTCTTCTAATTTTAAAGGAAATTAACCCTATCCTCATCCAAGTTCCCCAATATAACAATACGTTTGCTAAGGCTTATTACATTGATACTATTTCTACTAGAGTTTGTTGAACATACTAACATAACGTAGCATTAAGTTCATAATAAATCCTGAAAGTACTGGCAATTTTTTTTTCTATTTCTGCATTTCTAAAAAAATATGGTTAAGGATCATACTTAGTTGTCCTTCTTTTATAAATAAGATAAATCATTAAACTTGTTTGCATTTAGTTCCTTTTGACAAAAATGTCTACAATTCTGAAGTTTTATACAAATTTTTCGCAATAAAAGATATAATGTAAGAAATAATAACGGATACACTCACAAGAGATCGGGTCTGCGACCGAGTAGTTGATGGAAGAAATTCCTCCCATCTCACCCAAGCTCCAGAAAACTACATAACTAGTGCCCTGCAGTTACTCTGGAGACTCCATGCCCGTCGCCGATTCTTCCCCCTCTTGTTTTGCTTAGCTAAAATAAGCGAGAGGCAAATGAACCCAAACATTTTCCTCTTTCTAGAAAATTTTGTGCAAGCATTGTTCACGTTAGTCCTTGTGGGAGACATTAGCTCGTGCCTTTGACTGAGAAGCTGACCCAATGATATCCTAGGCCTTTCAATTGCTCTCTCCCCGATTCCTTTTTCATATTCCTCAGTGTCCATCAGCTTGATTGTAAGTATTTGACCAATGGACAATCTCCTTGGCCTGCCAGTAGTGGCCAAACTCATACCATTCACATCAAGTATCCTAGTTTCGGTTCTGTGCGGCACTGCATTAGAGTTTTTGAATTTGGTAGAGTTTTGGACAGAACGAGTCTTTTGCTTCTGCTTAATAGTCCACCACGGCAAATCTTCATCACCTGAAAGCTTTCCGCTGTTTTCCAACTCTTCTCTCTCCAGTTCCTCTTTCAGCATTTCCCTATTGGATTCAACTGCTGTTGTTGCCATAGCATTCATATTGTTCTTCTGTTTAGAAAGCCATATTTCAAGGGCTTCTTCAGCTGCAAGCTTTTCTCTGTTTGCAACTTCTTCTCTCTTCTGCGCTTCTTTTAGTGCTTTTCTGCTGGCCCCTGCTTCCGCAATTGCTTCCTCAATCTTCATATGAAGACTATGGTTTGATTGGCTTGCCTCTCTAACTCGAGCCATAGCAGCCTCAATAGTCTTCTTGGATTTCTCATCAGACTGTCGGCCTTTGCAAATCAGCTGTGTGTATTCTTCAAATGAAAGAGTAACTTTCTCTGCAACTAAAGCGACTTGTGCAGCTTCGGCGGCTTTTATACAAGTCTTCATATGATCTATGCCTGATATTAGTCTGGCTGCGTCAGCCTTGGCAACTTCTGCAATCATTTTAAAGCCTTCTTTCTCTAAGCCAAGTTCAGTTATACGTTTCGAAACACCCTCTGAAGTTTTGTGATGCCTGCTTTGAGCATCTTGTATGAGTTTGAGTTCTGCTGTGCTTTTTTTTAAATTCTCTTCTAAGGTTAAGACCTTGGCAGTATCTAAACGTAACCTTTCACGGGATTTCTCAAGCATGGCTTCCTCCTTGGCTATCATACTCTTTAGTTGTTCAACTGAAGCTCGAATGCCAGATATGCCACAAGTACTCCTCGCCAAATTCATCTTCGCCTGCTGTAGTTCCATTAAAATTAAACTTGGAGATTTCCTTACACTAGTTGTCAAGACTACTGAACTTGCACACTTTTGGAGGTAATTTGGTCTCGTCTTTTCAGCGTCTGGATTGAGACGCAGTTTCAGGAAGTCTGAATTTATTCTGTCAGCAACTTGGATGGACTTTGAGGTTTCTTTTGGTAACTGTAGCTTCAGGTCATTTGCAATCCGTTTTTTCATTTCTAGTTCTTTTAATACAACAATATTTTCCCTTTCTTTTAAAATAAAATCAATCTCTAGATTTATAGCCTGCTGCTTGATCTTCATCGGCTTAATATCATCAACAAAATCAAGCTTCTGAGGCAAATAAACTGCCTCCAATCAACATAACATAAGAAATTTATAAAATTAACATCAAAAACAATAATTTATAAAAGAACAAGTAATTTGACAGACCTTGGTAGAGCATATGAAATAAACCAAGTGTATCCAGAATTTAGGACATCAATCATAAAAATAATGTTCCGTTAGATCCAATTAAATTCAAAATATATATTATTAGATATTGACTCCCAATCATGCATGAATCAAATTATGAAGAATGTATCAAACTTTCTATAAGAAAATTTGAAAATAAGTTGAATGATTTGCTGGGTATTGACTAGATTATCCATACATGAGTCACATTGTGAGGAATGTTTCAAACCTCGTGTGAAAGTTTTGAAACGGATTAGGTGATTTTGTATAAGTTAGGTGGTTCTAGATTGCTTTGATGGCTATCTAAGTTAACACATTGAATCGCATTGAACAATAAGACAAGTTTAAATTTTTGTGTGAAGAAGTTGAGAGGGAAATGAGGCGAGGAGAAGAGGAGAAGAGGAGAGAGAAAGAGAAAAAAAAAAGGAAATCATAAGAAGTTTTCTTTCGAGATTTTGAAGATTCATCTTGACGATTTGGCTGTATATTTTTGAAGAAAGTGGGTAATTTTAATATTTGTTTAATCCTCTTACTTTGTTATATCTCTCCTAAATTATTTTTATTTAGTAATAAGAGATTTGAAGCATCTCTTTTCTTTGTTGATGGTAGTTTTGGGAAAAGTTTATGGGTGTCCTTTTACTATCCAACATGATTATCCCTACAGAAAATCGCTCATTAATGTCGTGTTTCTGAAGAAAAAATTTTGGCGTATTTCTGAAGAAAAATTTTCGGCGGATTTCCGGCAGATCACGGTAAAAAAATTCCGACATATTTTTGGTCAATATTTCCGACGAAGTTTCGGCGGATTTTCGACAGATTTTTTTCGGCGGATTTTAATAATTTCAGAAAAAATAATATATTTGTAATTTAATTGATTAATTATTTTATTTTAATGTATTTTTAAATAATGGAATTAAGTTATTAAAATTATAATTAACTTAATAACTTATGTTAATTAATTATTTCTTTATAAATTTTAATATTTTTTAATT